TGGAACCTTTTGTTATGTCAGGAAGTTAGGAAATTACGTTTTTAAATGGGATATATTACAAGGACACAGGAGCAAGCTTGAGGGGGCATCCTCAGGTCAGATCTGGAATAATTTGAGAATACAAACAAATTAAGTCCAGTAATGAATTATAAGTTACTGGAAAAAAAATTGAATGCACAAGCCTACCTTGATCAGAGGAAGATTAGTGAAGGAGGAGCCGGGAGGGCTGTCGCTTAAAGTAGAGAGAGAGCCGAGGCCCAAAGGTAAATGTGGAGAGGCCGTTGGAGCAGAGCTGTACTGTCATTGTCCAACCATCCTAGTAACGATTTCAGCGAAGGATCAGTAATCCTAGCTAACTCTGGGGGGAAATTTTGATGAGAAACGGGCAGCTTATTACTTGAAGAGAGAACAAAACCCTGTAATTATAGAGAAGAAACTGGGTGACACCTTGGCTGAGCGATGAAAATTTCTGTTCCCAAAGAGGGACAGGCGGACGTTGTGTGACTCCCTGACACCACCCAGGCCACCTTCCAGCCGAGAATGCAGACCCTTGACCCCACAAGGACAAATGAGGTGGAAGGGGCTTGTGTTTCTCGGCTTGTGGTGCCTGTCCATCCTTAAAGCCAGAGATCCTTCACTCCACCTCAGCTTCCTTTCTCACGGCTGCTTCTCTCGGGCGCGCTGGCCTCCCCCTCCCAAGGACCCCTGAGACAGCACTGCACCCACGTGGATGCGCCCCTTAACTTGGTCAAGCCTTCTTTGCCATGTAAGGTAACAACATATTTACAAGTTTCGGGGGATTAGGATATGAACATCCTTGGGGGCCATTATTCTCTCTACCATAGGATTATTTTTCAAAAACTTTTCAATGACATAAAATACAAAGAAAGGCTAAAGAGTATTATTTACAGGCTAAAGAGACGGGATGACTAAGTGCAACTTTGGACTAGATCCTTTTCTGGAGGGGGGAAGGCTGTCAGTACTCATTATTCCAGCCCAGATGTGACGGATGGTCCTCTGGTCCCTAAAGCATCTGATCTGGAGGTCTGCCTGCTTCTGAGGATGGTGTACTCAGTATCTTCACGTGGCACCTGTCCGATTGCTGGTTATCAAAGGAGTTTGAAAGTTCTCGATGGGTTTAGAAAAATGAAAGTAATTTGCTGGTGACCCTCACCTGTTGTAGTCCTGCCTTCTGGTGAAATCCAGAATAAGTCTTCTGTTCATTTGAGGCAGGCTGCCATATTTCCTTTATATGTCTTGTAGACTAGAAGCTTCTAGTCAGTGGATGCTTCTGAGTCAGTGTTTGGACCTCCTGACCAGATGCATTTGTTTGTCGGTGTCGCTCTTTGAAATGCATTGTCCCTGAGAACACAGCTCTCCAGCGGCGGCCACTCTGGTGAAGAGCGCCATGGGCCCATCCATCTAGTTTGATTTGTTCCTGCCTTCTCTTCCAGCCACGTGCTCAGTCCCCACAACCTTTACAGAAAAAAGCCATACATTGATCTTGACTGAATCAAGGCAGGAGGTTTGGGTGCAGCCCCAACGGGGCTCTGAGGATCTCCGTTACCACAGTTATCTGGTAAAACAAAAGGAGACCCTGGAATGAGCCTCTTTACTGCTGAAATGGAATCTGCTCTGAGCACGTGCCCTCCCAGACAGCCAGGGCAGAGACTCGGTTCCTAGGCTGATCAGCAGTACGATCAGGGGTTTAATTCTAGTTAGTAAGTTTGCTGCAGGAGCCTCAGAGGCAGGACTGCTCCACCCTGTAATGGGGAGTTTTACAACTGCTCTCTGCCCAGCTCCCAATGAAGGAAGTGAAGGTGTTTAGGAAACTCAGAGGTCACAGCTCATGTTTGAGGGCGGTAGACGCCTCTGGAACTCAGTTACTAGGTTCCAGTGTTCTGCTTACAAATTGGCACAAGGGAACTTCTGCGGGGAGCTCTTTAATGACTATAGCTGATTTTAGGGTTCATGAGGGTCAACTTTGCCCCATTCTAGTGAGGGAGTCAGCGCCCATAGACCTGGAAGCGGTCTTTCTCCGGATCCCGTGGCAGAGGCTCCCCTTCCCATTGCATGGATCCTTGAGCAGTGACTCCAGCAACACAGGGCTCCGTGACCCCACGTCTCTCTGCGGTTCTGTGGACACTGCAGGACCAAGCTTTTAGTGGGAACTCACCAGCCATAAAAGTGTCAGGTCACTAAGCTGCTGCATTTCAGGGTCAAATACCTCACATTGGAGGGAGTAGAGAGGACTGTTTCTGCAAGTCTGTTAAAGAGAATGCCTAATAATGATGCCTTTATGGTGGAATGAAGCTGACTTGAGAGAAGAAAGGGAGGGAAGGTGGGAGGGATGGAGAACAGGCTCTTCTTGTGAGCCCTCTAATGTCAGCTTGCAGAAACTGTCCGAAACTGGAGATCCTAGTAGTTTATAATCCGAACTGCCCGAGCGTGGTTAGCTCACTAGTGGTAAACCCATCCTTTCATTTCTGCCCAACCCCCCAGCTCCTCAAGTGGAGCTGAGGCGCAGGTGGCGAACACGAGGCCTGTGGGCCGAATCCTGCCCTCCACCTTGTCTCTACCCCGTGGCAGCATCAAGCTCTCCCTGAACTGTTAAGGAGTCGCTACATTTGTACAGTCCTCCAATTACATTTGGTCCTTTGAAGGCAACCATGAGGCTGATGTGGCCCCAGTGAAAAAGAGTTTGATACCCCTAAGTTAAGGAATGGACAGCAGGGTCCTATTGGCCTAAGAGTTAATCAGGAGATTTTAGAGATGGGGCTGAAATCTTAAAGGGAAGTGGGTCTTAACTGCAAGTACAGGGATGTGTGAGAAGCTACCCTGCTGGGCTGTTTTTTTGGATACACATAGATGTGGATGATGAACTGGGAAAGTCAAGGGGCACAGTAAGTCACCAAAGGGAGTTTCACTGGGGGTGCGGTGGGGGGAGGCGGGGAGGATGTACAAGGGAGCAGGGCAACTTAACCGGAAGGTTAAGGAGGGAAGTGTCTTGCCCATGCACACAGGGGCTATTCTCTTTCCAAGAAGCTGGTAGAGGCGCCCCCCTCTCTTCCCCATGCCTGCTCAGCATCACTAGCACCTCCCTTCTGAGCACCCCTTCCAGTCTCAGAGGAGTCAAGTGTCAAGTCTCAAATCTCATTAGCCATAATAAAGTTTCTCTACACCGGAGGCTGGGGTCTGGGAGTGAGGCGAGACCACTAACAAGAAGCGGTCATCATCACAAGGGGGATTGGGGATCCCTTTGTCACAGAAACGTCCCCGCAGGGCTGTAGTGGGTGCAAGATGAAATGGGAGATGGTACTGAGGACCAGCATTGAGCTGTTTCTTTTCCTCCTCCTCTCAGTGAAAGAAACCACAGGCGGAGGGGCAGAGAGAACGAATACCTTACTGGGATGACATGGCAACATTATCCTTCAAAACTGCTCTCCCATGAAAAATAAAAACATCGAAGTGTGATACAAATAGGGATCTCCTTTGTCGCCCCCCCAAGGGTGCAGTCCTGTGCTCGTGTTGTTTGTTTGATGCCACGGAAACACGCAGCTGGCTGCAGCAGACAAAAGTGTGCCAGGGGAGAGACCAAAGGTCAGATCTGGTGTTTCCCCGACAAGAACGATGGGAAAGAATTTTGATAGGGCTTTGCTGCAGGCCATCTCTTAATTCTGAACTCAACCGGTTTTCAAACTCAGCAGACTTCCTATCATCAGGGGAAACAGGGATGAAGAGACTCAGGAAAACGGGCACCCAGCTCAACACAGTGACAGTCTGTGAATGACCTGGTGCAAGAAGCCCCAAGCCTTGGCCCTGAATCTCTGCATGCCGACCAACGGCTCTCACAGCTCGTGTCTATGGAACTGAACAGCACGACGCAACCAACACACCTTGGGAGTTCTTAATTTCGGTTTTCCGCTTGGCAGGGAACAAAATCTCACACACAAAAAAAGAGCATTTCAGAACACGGTCTTTTGAATAATTGTGTCCAAACTAGTTTACGAAAGATTATCCTTTTGCCTCACATAAATCCATGTTAAGCTACAGAAAAGGGGCAAAGTTCTGGAGGGATTGACTAGCTCCACCTATTGACAGAAGCACATTTCCCCAGTGACGATTTTTTGGGGTAAAGATGTAAACGTGTAGTTAGTGATCTAAGAGTTTTGTGTTTCCCCTCATTTCTATCAAACACACCAAGGGCAACTGAAGGTCTACATGGTTCTGTACACAGCTTCATGCTCAAACGTATGAACAGCCAAGTGGTAGGTGCATTCAGCCTGAGGGATGGGATATAACATTTGTTCAAAGGGACAGAAGGCTCTCTTCCACCCGAATGAGAGCGAAGTGTAAGAGAACAAAATAGCCTTTGGATACTGTGCAGTATCCAGTGACTAGATGAAAAACAGGATGGTCAGTAATTACAAGGACATCATGAATCCATTCTGAAGGTCAGAAATACTTGGGTCCTCTATCAACCCCTGGGACAATTCATTTTCAGCTTGACTTCAGAACTGGTTGAGGACAGCCAGGCAGCCGAAGTGATGTGGGACCAGGAGAAAGCCCCAGTTTTCAGAGGATGAAAAACACCTTCCTTGTTCTGCACAGGTAACACTTTCCATATTGACCGATACTATACATTAATTAATTTTTAAAAAGGAAAACATTCAAAATGAACTATGTTTTGAGTCTAGAGATGAGTCTTTTCAATACCCCCAGCTAAATAATTCCATCAGCAGCCCCACCATGCAGCTGAGTTATACAAGGAGATTAGAGAGAGAGAGTTGCAGGAAGAGGTGGCATATGGCGGCCTGTGGACCCAGTGAATTCTACTGTAGGAGAAAACTATGCCCTTGCAGGTCCTGTGTGAATGAGTTAAAAAATAGGTACATATTTCTAATTTAGTAAACAATTCACAATATATAAATTTGATGGTGGAAAGTGCAAAGAAATTCGATGATGATGTTTTAATAACCCACAGAAAGCATACACATGCACCCAATGAATTCATCTCTTTATTGCATATTGCTATTTAAAAAAATGTACAGTTTCATAACACATACAACATTTTTTCTTGGTACTATAACAACAGTCTTGCACCTAAAGACTAAGTGGTTCAAACTACTAAAGCTAATAAGATACAAGACATATAATTAAGTTTGCAAATTATAATGTTTTTACTTTTTGGCATTAATTTAAAACAAACAAACAAACAAACAAAACTTTAAAAATACACACCCAAGAGAGAAAAGTGGCTACTTACACCAGCACCAATCTAAAAAAGTAGATTTTTTTTCCCAACAATGGCACATGGAATTACCTGCCCATAGCTTTTGGGGAAAGAAACCAAACATGGAAATGGCGAAGGAGGCTACCAGGATGGCCGCATCGAAATGAGGACGATCAGGAAGGGCACAGGGGCGTAACACACAAGCTTGTTCCTCTACATGACTCTCCCTCTGCTGTCTACTCCTTACACTGTAAACCAAAGCCAGTTTCAAGGTACAGTTCCAAAATTGAGCCAGACCAAATTTCTCCTGCTATAAAGAGAAAAGAATATACATAGAGGCACTTTAGTTAAGGAATAGACAACTCCATCAGCATATCCCGCTCCTCCTCTCCAAGGCTTCTCTGAGCAAAGTCTCCGTCTGTGCCTTTAACTTGCAGACCTTGGTATCCACGGGCTGGGGGAGCGCAACTTCTGCTGGGTACTTACGACTGTTTCATTTGCTAGAGCCATTGACTTTCATATAATATGTAGAAAGTCACTAAGTTTGCGATGAGGGGGAAAATGTAAAAGTACAGCTCCGGACACCTTAGAGCACTATTTCACAGCTTTCACGTAGCACAGAGACCTTGCCATCTGTGCTAAGCATTACAGTTTATACAAATTATTTTTAAATAGCACGATTCATGTACAGCGCACACATTGGTATTCTATTCACCCCTAATATCCCCATTGGAATGTGAACTCCTTGGGGGCAGGGGCTCTGTCTTGCTTACCATTGTAGCCCTACTATGCCTGCCACATAGTAGGCGTTTAATAAATATTTGTTAATTGACTGGAAACCTCAATTTAGTGAGTAAATAAGGTTCTAGTGCAACAGGACAAACTACTCTTTCCACAGGAAACCCAACCACTAACAGGATTGTTGGAAAGAAAAGAGAGAACCTTAGTCCCCCTCCCCGACTACAAATAAATAAAGCAAAGCCAAAAAACAAAAAAGGTAACAGTCCTTTTTATATATCATATAATTTAAGGATATTAAGAGTTGGTAGGTTAATGGTAAGCATCTATATTTTATTTTCTAATGTTCATTGTTTTTATTCATTTCTCCCTGAGAGCTTTATCTTTTGGACTGAAGTTTTACAGGTAGCTTTACTGACACACAATTTAAAATGACAACATATAACAGGAAAGCACTTCAGACATATTCAGAGATAAACAGGCCTGGGCATCTGTTGGTGGTGTTGATATTCTGTGCATTGAGGCCAGACCTATTTACAGAAGATGCAGCTTGTCCTAAAAAACAGAAAATAGATAACACCAAAAAAAAAGGAAGGCACCCCATAAAAGTTTTTAAAAATAACTTTGATCCCTTCAGAGAAGTCCTCCTTTTAGGTCTTGGGTGGGGAATTTTATTTTTAAAGTTGATATATCTGTGTTGTTAGAACAACAAGCACATTCTGGCAATCTCATTGCTTCATGAGGGTATAGAGAACATTTAGATTGTGTTCTTTTCGAAAGCAATGCAAACAAATCATCAAGATGCCTGGCAGAGAACTCGATGATATTAGAAAAGAAAACTGATGTCCAAGTTTTAAATATATAAGAAATTTCTGATTGACATTCTACATAATTCAGATTGAGTGCACGATGTCCTCCACGAGTGTCTCCAGACTGCGCCCCGCACCAAGGTCGGGGATTCTAAGCTGGTCTGGTCAGTTCCTGGCGCGATGCACCAGCATCACACGGTCGGCTCTCAAAAACCATTTTAAATCTCTATTTTTCCAACCCCAGTTTCACCGATGAAAATAATTTCAAAGTATAACAAGCTCAGAAACCATAAAATATTTCTCAAGCTTTCTTTTTTCTCTTTTGTTTTTCTTTGTACTCTAGGGAATGTCTGTCATCCCTTCCAGGAGATCGTATTGTGCTTCTGAACAGTCGTGGTGTTCCGGGGAAGAAAATGAGCCACACTCAACAGGAACGCATACAGAAAGGCTTTCTGAGCACAAACATCAACACGGGCTTTTAAAAACCAAACAGATAGGTCTCCAGACAACACCCGACTTCTATATACATTTTTGAATATACATATACACATACATTTACATACACACATTCACACATTCACTCACAGATGAGAGAAGAAATTGCCACTGTTCGAATTTGCAAGGCAGTGTAATGAAAAGGTCTAGTCACTTCAACGGGCTGCTAATGAGTTTTCTAAAAAAGTATTCAAGGAAAATCAGAAATTAAGTTTTGTAACTGGTCTCTCTCGGCTGCTGTCCGTCACCTGGTTGGTAATGCGCTTGCGATTCCGTTTCAGCTTAGAAAGGTCTTTGTCAAACACTTCTCCTGAGCGTAAAGCTGAAACGAGGTCATCGAACTCTCCGCCTTCCTCGCTGTTCTCTTTAGCTTTCCTCGTTTTACGTTCCCTTTCACGCTGTTCTTTGAGCTGCAAATAGAAAGCACCCTCTTAGAAATGTCCAAGTGCTGCATTTGGCTTTCAGTGGTGACGCTTTCTGTGCAATACAGCAGTGCTTCAGCTACACGGGGCTGTGTTCACCTACAGCTGCTAAGCCCCTCAATGTCACAAGCGAGGGGTGACTGGGACATGAGGTCTCACTGTAGAAGCAGTGAGCGAGGAAGAAAAGTGGCCACGACTTTGTGCTTAGGGTCCCACCATCTAGAATCTAGGTAAACCTCAAGATACTTTAGTTCAAAAAGAGAGAAGGAGCAATTGAAGCAATTCATATTTCTGTAATGAAATAAGAGTTATCACTACTCAGCAGATCTCAAATACTGGCTTGACAGCACAGAGAGACTAAAGCACATACTCATTGGGCCCCTACCTCACATCAAAGGCTTAGCCTGAATCTACTGTGACGGCCTGGAACCCACTATGAAAGCGTTACTATTATTAAAGGCCAAATAACACACACGCATTATAGAAAATTTAGATAATTCAGATAAACAAAAAGGGAAAAATCTATTCTTAATTTTATTATCAACAGATAACCATTGTGAACTTCTTGGGGCAGTATCACACCGCTATTATTTTCTATATTTACACTTATTTAAAAAAAAAAGATTTCATGTAGAAATCATTTTGAAAGCTTCCTTGCGTTATCAAATAACCTTTGAAGACACGACTACTAAGGACTGCGTAAACATTCCATTATGTAGCTATTACATCATTTAGAACTAATGCCGGGCTGGTAAACGTTTGGGTAGTTTCCAGATTAGAGCAATTATAAAGACCGCTTTCTCTTTGTGCAAATTTATGACTATTTCTTTAGCATAATTTGTAAAAAATGGAATTCCAGATCAAAGGATGTGGATTTTTCCAGGCTTTGGACAGAGACTGCCAAATTGCCCAAGAGAAACTTCATACCAATTTAAACTGCCAGCAACATTCTAGAGAGCGCTGTGACGCCCTCCCTCTTGCCAGCACACCGGAGGGCTGTTTAAAAGCCAAGGGGCTGCAGCAACAGGGCTTCCAGGAGGCGGGCCGGCCGGTTGGCCCCTCTCTTCTCACCTGTGCTTCCATGCGAGCTCGGCGCTCTTCCTCCTCCTTCCTCCTCCTCATATTTTCGTTCTCTTGTTTGGCGTCGGACACAGCCTGAAGAAACTGATCAAAAATGCCGAAGAACTCATCTGGCTGTATTTTGCCAGCTTCTTCCCCAAAGTGTTTCACTGCTTTAGTAAACTAGGAGGAAAAAAAAAAGGCAGTTTTAAGAAGTTTCACGTTCCAAGAAAGTCCCATGATCAAATATAAATCCCTCTAGGACTCAAGCTCAAATTGAGTCAAATTTAACTTGCTGGATTTTAGTGAGCCTGTATTTATCTTTGGCTGCCAGACATGTCTATCAGCCGCTTCTAAAGTAAAATAAATGTAATACTCCTCGACTTTTGAAACCATTTATTCTTGTCTGCCTTATTTCGGCTTAACATCTATGATTACCTCCTATGACTTTTTATTAACTAAACAGTAGTAAAAACAAGAAGGCAAAATATCATGGGGCAGAGCACTCAAGACATAAAACTAATAGCAAACTCAGCAGGGGAAGGGAAACTTGTACTTTTAACTTTCCTTTGAAGTAGTTTAATATCATTTATTGGTGCCATATGGTTAATATCAAAAGCAAATGGGATCCAGTGCTTCTCAGATGCTCTTTCTAATCATGAATAATGCTATAGCATTATTATGATATTTCCTGGGCCTTAATTAGACAACAATAACTGATTATTAAGGGAGATATACAAGAAATTATATATATATGGAAACAAAATAATATTCTCAGGCATGCTTTCGGGAGTCGGAGCATCATTATGATTTACCCACATAAGGTTCAGTGCCGGTCACACGGTTTGTCAGTTTTCTTCCTTATGTAAGGATCTAAGGCTATTACTCCTGAGCTACTGAGGATGGTGTTTCTAGCTTCAAAGTCAAATAAATACTCATCCCTATGCCTAATTAACTACCTAAAGTTTTGCAGGTCTTTAACTTTTTTTCGTATTTAGACCAAGAACTTTCCGAAGTCCCCCAGCGCAAGAATTTCTAACTGGTTTTCATTCTCTTGCATTACTCACCTTTACGATACTGAGTTTTTCTGATATTTCAGTGATACTATCTGCCTAAAGGAAATGTTTTCAATCTCTATTCTCTTTTATCTTCACTCCCCCTCCAGTTTTACTGAGATATAATTGCAGATACCACTGTGTCAGTTTAAGATATACAACATAATTACTTACATGCATTGCGAAATAACGGCCACAATAGTTCAGTTAACATCCATCATGCCACATGGGTACCCAAGGGAAGGGAAAGCTACCTTTCCTTGCAATAGAACTCTTAGGCCTCCTCTCTCAAGGCCACTGGACTCGGCACACGGCAGCGCTAACTGCGGTCATCGTGCTCTGCCTCCCATCCCCAGGACTCACGTACCTTACTGGACGTCTGTACCTTTGGCCCACCTTCCTTCAATCCCCTCCACATTTATTCTTAAATAAACAGTTGTTGATTATGTTGTGTGTGTATGTGTGAGTATATACATATACATATATATGACATTTTATAAATATTTCATATCTTTAAATTTATAATAAAAATATTCTTTTACTGTCTTTTCCTTCACTGAGGAGCTGCTCTGAAATGCTTTACATATTTGGAAATATTCTATTAGCAACCAGAGCCCTTGAGGAAAAAGCACAGCATTCTTTATACAGTGCTCTAGCTTCTTCCATGGTTTTATAAACTAATTCTAAAAGTCCTGGTATGGACAAAATGGCAATAGACAGCCTACAATTGTGTTTCTAAAACATTCAAGTTCATGCACTTCAAGCCGTCCCGAATGATCTTTTTATCTAGGAATTCTAGTGATGATGAAGTCATGTATATTTTTGACTTAGAAATCTGAAAACTAGTTCCAGACTGAAGTTCCCACGCTAAAATAAAGGGGAAAAAAATAGACTTTGAGTGTGTGTTTAAATCAAATATTAACTATCCAGTTGCTTCTAATAAAAATGTTTGAGCCCTTAACGAAGCAGGTATTGCATTGCCCAATTTGGGGTGGGGCTGGGGGTGTCCCCTTCCTTTACAGAGTGTACCCCAGAGTGGTGAGGCACACTCGAGACACAAGACAGGGCCACCCCCGTGGAGGGGCTGACACAGCTGGCTCACTGCAGGCACAGGATACCGGAGGCTAGGCTTCTAACTGTAGTCATTTGAACATATGTGGTCTTTCCATTTGTTTAATAATGTTGGAAATGGGGCTTGATGTTGAGACTATCTAATGTATCTTAACACAGTGTACTTCTGAATTTTAACCAATATGTGCATACACTTACATAAACAAGCATCCAAGTTTATAACTGAACACGTGACTACAGAAAAATGACATCCATTACTCAAGTTGCAAAGGAGAGATTCAGGTTAAAGCCAAAATTGTGGCAACTGAGTACTTCCATAGGAAGTACTCAACAGGTTGTGGCAGGGGCTTACTATCATATATACACAACGAGAAAGGATGGGAGAGAACGTGTGCCTATGAATGTGTGTCTGTTTTGGAAGAGGAAATAATGAGAGAAAGAGACAGCGGTGGGGGGTGGGGCAGGAGGATTTAAAGGTCTTGGTAATTACCCTACAGTAACTTTTCCTCTAGAGAAAAACAAAATTTTGAAATAGCAAAAATTATAGAAAGAAGTATCTTAAAAATATTTCTCTTGCAAAGAGACTGAGGATTAAGAGGCATGTCATTTAATAAGTTCTGCTAGAAATTTCCAGAGGAAGTGTCCCGTCCTCCTGAGACACAGGCTCAGGAGAGCATGTCATTTACAGGTACTGTGGGGACCTTGGTCCCGCCTGACCTCACGTTTCATCCCGACCTCGGTTTTCATTGTCTATTCTTTTCTGGTTTCCAGGGGTAAGTACTTCAATCCACTACTAACCAAGAGAAAACTGTCTTGGCTTATTCACCAGCTTCACACCATTCAGACACTTCCTGGTCTTACTGACCTAAAGGCATCATTGGCCAATCAGACAAAAAGGTTGTGTTTCAACTGATCACAGCCTAGAAATGAAAACAGACTTACAGTACAATATCTGAAAGTACCAGGCCTATCGAACAACACTCAGTGTGCAAGGGGAACTTTACCAGGTCTTTGGCTTCTGCCAGAAGATCTTCAACATCAGAGAAGCTGAAGCTGGCTACCGTGATGAACTGGCTGACGACAGACACAAACTTATCTCCAGGCTGTGGGGGCTGAGACTTCTGATATTCCAGCTCCTGGAGCACAGTAAATAGAGAACGACAACGTCGGCTGTGAATGCAGGCACGCCCCCCCCATTTTCTACATGCCTCAATTTTAATGCCGGAAACCTGCTCTGGGACTGTGCGTGATGCCCTAGCTCCACCTGCTCTGCTGCCCACATACCAGAGCCAGGCCCTGGTGCACCCACACGTTTGCAAACAGCCATTCGACTAATCGTCTGAGTACTTACTTCATCAGTGTGATTTTATATACTGGCTTAAAGGTAAGCAGATCATATTTGGATAAAGTTAAACAAGAATTCTGGTTTCTTGATTCTGTTTTCTTCTTTCCCTGTCTCCCAAGTCTTCCCACACCACGCTGTCTGGGTCAGCAGGATTTCAGCTATAGCGTTTGGCACTGTACTCAGCTACCAGGTTTTTTCTTGTCCACACCATTCAGTTTTTGTGAACAGGCAGGTAAGGAGTATCAGTACCTTGTTCATTATCCAGATTCTCCATTACCATGCTGGTGAACAAACTGATATTCAAATCCAAATTTAATTTTAATAATTAATTTCAACCACTGCCAGAAAACTTTCTTATTTAAGCCTACAACACCTCTGTGGTGAGGCACTGTGATCCCCACAGCAGAGGCACAGAAATGGAGGTTTAGAGGGTTTGGAATCCTTGTGCAGGTAACTGATATGTGGTAGGGTTAGAATTTGAACTCAGGTCTGCTTGACTCCAGCATCTCAGTAACAGCTACGCTGTATCCCAGTGGCTTGGTCTGGACCTGTACTCTGGCTCTGTTTTCTCCTTCACCTGCTTTGGCAGATGTACTGACAAGCAGGTGTGTAGGTTACCCTCCCACACAGGCTATGGACTCTGACTCAGCTCCACCCCTGGTATGGTGCTGGTCCAGGACACGTGGCCTGGGCCTCAGTTTCTTCACTTATAAAAGGAGGCAATATCTCCATCACTGTGAGAATTAAATAAAATAATAGGAATGGAAACTCATGATTTCTAGAGCTTGCTCTGATTGGAAAACATGGCTGTAACTCGAGTGCTTCAGCCTAGAAACTGAGCATTGTGTGTGTGTGTGTGTGTGTGTGTGTGGTGCAAATGTGAAAGGAATCTTAACATGTTTCATTAATGTATAATTTCATATGAATTCCATGTTTGATATCTCCAAACAACATAATCAGTTTGAGCAAATCACTATTAGAATACATGGATATTCAGACAGGCCAACGGCTGCCTCCTGATACTTCTTTCCCATGCTGCATCTTGACATTTAAGCTGTTGGGGGAGGGGTGGGCTTCTGTAGCTTCTTTCCTATGAAGAGCGTGGGTTGGTGTACATGACCCAGGTGCTGGAGAGTCTTCAGCAAAACTACCTTCGCTAAACTTCAAACATAAAACTTCCTTGGCCCTGCACCCCACACCTGGCTGTGATGTAGCTCAGAGCTCAGATCAAGGGTCAGAGCATCCATGGTCAGGCCTTCGGGCTGTCATAACTGCCCACCTCAAGAAAGCCTTCTACTGGGAGGAAATAAAACAAGCCCTGTCCCGAACTGCCCTTGTCCAGTTTGACCCTGAAAGCGGAGGACATCCTACGTACTCACTTAGTCTCCCCGCCCCCTGGGGCTGGGAGGAAAGAGTTCACTCAATTAGCTTATCTGCTTTTCTTTTTAAATAGCCCACCTCCCCCCAGGGAATAAGGAAAATGTTACATGCTCCTTAATTTAGTAAAAACAAACAGAAAAGATTGGTTAGACAATATAATTAAATTTTTATTAGAGGATGTCTTTTAATGAAGTCAATTTCTCTCTATGGCATACTTTTGAAAAATATTTAAGAGAAGGATGCCTTTCCACATTGCCTGTGAATCAGTCTCCTTCGCCAAGTGCCAGACACAGCGATGTCCACTCTCCTGAGTGAGGTTTCTCTTCCCTGGACCTGCCTCTTCATGGACGGCTGCATTTGTGCAGTGCCCTGGTGGCACGGTGCCACCCCAGCCACGGCCCAATCCTCTGACGCCTCTGCCTGCAGCAGTCTGACCTGCCTGCCTTCTGCTGAGGTCTGGCCAGGTTGTCTGTAAACCTGGGACAACCTCCCTCCTCTGTGCCTAAGTTTACCCAACTCGGCAGAGCTCAAAGTTCATCTCCAGAAGAGACGTTTCCTCTGACACATGCCAGGCATTCCACAAGGCTCAGACCAACCTAAATCTACCCTTCTTCCAGAGGCACTCTTGTGATTGATGTGCTTATCTGGATGTGGTCAAAGTGATCACACGTGAATGTCCTCTGGCCTGACTGCTCTTGGCCACGGCAACACTTGGAGGGCAAGGATTCTGAATCATCATGACCCCTCGGGGGCCTTGAGAAGGGACAGTACACCCAAGTGCCTGCTCAATAAATACTCCCCACGGGGCCGACTTAAAGACAACAGAGAAGTTCCATTACGGAAAGAGCAAACATTGTTCGTTAACAGAACATGGACACAGAGAGGATCTTTGAAGATGACCTAGCCCAACCCACTCCAGTGAGTCCTGCCTTGCAGGCAGGAACCCGGTGCAACTCCAGGTCCAGCTTCCTAGCTCCCGTGTGACACCCCCCAACGTCCAGAGTTGCCTGACTAAACACAACCTGCCTTTGCCTCTTCAACAGAAGAAGCAATGTTGCTGATTTGTTGTTTTCTTAAATCAGTAGATGTTGATCTGGACACACCACATGCCAAGGCATCCAGCCACTCATCTGCTGGACACCAGCAGCACTAGACATAGTGATGAGCCTGGGAATCAGAACGAGAAACAGATACTCACCGTCTCTACTGCCTTCAGGCCACTTCTCAGGGTGCTTATTTCTTTGTCCAGCTCAGTCATGCTATTGCAAACAGCAACATTTTAGTAACCAACGTGTGACTTATACATATTCAATACATTTTAAATGTTTCAAGTTCCCCTCAATGTTCAGATCTCATAGAAAGACAACGCTATTTTAAACTTGTGGAATTGTGCTTTTTATTTTCCATAGCCAGCAGGTATAATTTATAGGTTGAAAACAACAGAGTACAAATATCTTTCCATCTGTACAAAAACATGCCATGTTTTAATCTCAGAGATCTCGCGTAAGCAAATTACTGTGTGAAAATGAGCTTCCTGCCACGCGTGGTTCCCTCTGAGCCGGCAGAACACACGCTCATCCACACGCATGTTCACATCGTGCTCTTTGTGACTTTACTGCATGAGGCTGTTCACCAACACGCTGGCGATGTGCAAAGTGCAAGGGGGTGGTTCAAATTGCAACCAACAGTGATTTTTCTCAAGGCTGTATTAACTAGTTTTCATTGTTTTTGCTTTTATAAAAAAAACGAGAAAGCTTCCTGGGTTTCTTCCACAATGCTTTCTATTTGATGACTTTTAAATGAAAAAATATAACTTCATCCTCACAGATAACTCACACATAAACAAATTCACCAACATTTCATTTACTTTAACATTTTAACTTCACGTCTTACATGGTACATTTCTACCGACCTCCAGGGAGCAAAAGTTAGTCTGCTTACCATGCTTTTCAAACTGACTGCAGAAAGATGTAGTTAAAAACTTTTTTTTTGAAGGCCAAAAGGAGGAGGAGGAGGAGAGACAACAGCAAGGAAAACTGCCTGCTCCTCAGCCTCTGAAAAGTGGTGTGAAGTGTGTGGCAAACGTCTGGTAACATTCTGTGTTTTATTTTTAGTGTCTTCGTTTGCATAAAGACTGCTTTCCATTAAAAGGTTGCCTTGGTTTCTGGGAGTGTGCACATGTGAAAACCGTGTGAGCCCCGACATGCAGGTCTTCTATTTGCCTACCCGTCTATCCTCATTTCACTACCTATATTTTAATAGAACTGCCTTTGAAAAGTACTAGTGCAACCACATTCCTTAACTTGATACATACTCCGACTAAACTCATTATAAGGTCTTGTGGAAGTTAAACATCGCATGCAGGAGTATTCCGAAGGAGCTAGAACACACACGTATATTCAAAACCACGAAACACATTGGAGTGATTTGGATAAGATTCAAACTTTATTTCATACGCTAGTATTCAGGGGAATGCAAACAGAAGAACCCTTTTCAGGCAAACCTGACTAACTGCCTCGATGGCTAAAGCACAGTCCAAGTGACATAAAAACCTATAAAATTCACTGGAAGTACTTACTTTACTTTTGCTGCTTGAGGAATGTCCCGCAGTTCTTCATTTATATTGAGAACCTTTGGGTATTTATTTTCCACAATAGTTATGAGATAGTGCAAAAGCGTAATGTTCCTGTAATTAAAGAAGAATATTAACCATGGTTAATATCTGCATATGATTTGTATATTCAAGTGGATGAGCCCACAAGATTGCTATGTTCCTGTGCTATTTCCAACTTTGGAGGTTCTGATGAGGCAAGGATTCTCAAGAGAAGGGGACACAGGAGAGCCTACATGAAATTTTGTGAATATATTTCAAAAGGAAGCATACATCTTGTACGAGGAAAGGGCAGGGGATACGAATGACTTATTTGGTCCATACTGAACACCCTTCATAATCTGGGTGCCGTGATGGGAATGCGTCTGAACCGTTGCCAGTGGGGCCGGTTCTTCCCAGTGCACCCACCCCCAGAAGAGGTGAGCTCCATAGGTACATAACGACAGGGTGGGGTGTGGACTGGGGGTGTTTAACCCACTAACGAGGACAGCTAACTGCAAGTCTAAAAGGTACACAGCAGCAACTCCCTGATGACAATTAGTGATAATTCTCATTTAAGGTTTCTTTCATCTCTGTGATAACGCTTTTCCTCTCTGACTCATTTGTTTTGCTGTTGCAGCAAAGGGTACTCGGAATTAGAAAGCTCCGTATTTCAGGGCTGGGCCTGGAAGTGGGCCAGGATTGTGCCATCATGGATATAATATCCTGATGGCCAAGAATTCACTTCCTAATTTTAGCAACACTTCGGCTCCTAACTGCATAACCCACCTCCCTCTTCAGTGGCGACAGCCCTGAAGGCTGGGTGACCTGGGTTGATAAGGCAGGCATCTGATAACACTGTCTACTAGCAGAGCTGTGGTAGTCTGGTCCCATTGTCCCGACTCCCACGTGATAGTCACCTGCATCCCAGATACCTGGGCCAAAGTCAGATTCACTTAGTTGGAATGAGGTGGGGCCAGGCATGGGTATTTTTAAAAACTCTCCGGTGATTCTATTGGGTTGGCCAAGAAGTTTGTTTGTGTTTTCCCATAGGATGGTTCTAGTAGCACTTGGTTGTCTTTAACTTCATTCAAAACAACTTTCTTAGATTGTATCATATCAGCAGGCATTTAAAATAAGCTTATCAAAATTGGTGATTTTTTGTGTAGCCATTTTAGTATTGAAGATGGAAGAAAATATGAAAGGTAAAAAATGCAACTAAAACACAAAAGATATGTGCAGTGTATGGAGAAGGTGCTGTGACTGGTCAAATGTGTCAAAAGTGGTTTGCGAAGTTTCATGCTGGAGATTTCTCACTGGAGGATGCTCTACAGTCAGGCAGACCAGTTGGAGTTGGTGATGATCAAATTGAGACACTGAGAACAATATAAATGGTAATGGGGAAAAATACAATAAAAAATGAATTGAAAAAAAAAGAGAATTAGCCCTGGCTGGTGTAGCTCAGGGGATTGAGCATGGGCCTGTGAAGCAAAGGGTCGCTGGTTCAATTCCCAGTCAGGGCACATGCCTGGGTTGCAGGCCAGGTCCCCAGAAGGGGACACATGAGAGGCAACCACACATTGATGTTTCTCTCCCACTCTTTCTCCTTCCCTTCCCCTCTCTCTAAAAATGAATAAATAAAATATTTTTAAAAAGACAGAATTAACATTATACCATGTGGGAGATAGCTAACATATTCAGAATATCTAAAGCAGTAAAGTTATTGGTAAAAATGCAAAAATGTATCTTTTATTTTTTGGAAAAAACTAAATGGACTTTTTGGCCAACCCAATAACTGCCGGGACCAAAACTGCTAGTTTTACTGAAAATTATCAGAATCAGGAGAACACAATGCATTTCTTTTAAAACATTTCCTAATTTGGGGGTAGTCTGCTAAGTCACAGTGCTAAGTCACAACAGTCCTGCCCACCTCCAGCTAAAGTGGCAGAGTCCTCACAATTTTCTTTCCCATGATAATGAAAACCACTTCTGGTTGCCCTTTAGCTTAAGAGAGTCAATGTAATCCTATTCCTTGGAGTCAACTGGCTCACATGTAAAAAAAAAATTCCCCTGTGTTCCTGGCTCTCAGTAACTAGGGAACAACCAGAAACCCCGGCCACTTCTCCTGTAGATGTTCAGCTGTATCGCTGCAGGTCAGGTCTGCCGTTCACAGAGTCTGTGCGTCTGCCCATGTGCCTGCTGCATGAGAGGTGGCCCGGGGAGTGAAATCCCAGCCATCATCAAAGGAAGAGAAATGCCACGTTTCTTCGTATTCCAGAGAAATGCTTTGTTATTTAGAGAAATTGATTTTAAATCACGACATGTACGTCTCTTAGTGTGGAAAGACTTAAAACCAGATCAGAGCTTCCAGGTATGTTTGCTATCCAAATAACACCTCATTTGACTGAATAAATTCTTGAAGAGTTAAAAAACAACCAAGGCACACATTTGATCATCCTCCTGTCATTACTAGAAACAAGCCTTTGCTGCAGAGGGCGCACCCTTCGTGCTGCCGGTCCCACTCTGATGCGGTCAGATTAGATTCAACTGAACATTCTCTGAGCGGCTGATTGCTCAGCAAGGAGCTCTGCTGGGCACTACAGGTTTGTAAGACACTAGTGCTACTTTGGGGGACCAAATATTCACAAGCAGAAAGAACAGGAAAAAGAAAGAGATGAGAAATGTGTTTAATTTACTTGTTTGGAAAAGGCTTGTGGATTAGATAAATTCTGTAGTAACTCTGATAAGCGAGAATCATGCTGTAGGTGTCAGGTTATCAGTGAGCTGGGGAGGGCAAAGGGTGTCAAAGGCTGCTGTGTGTGTCTGGGAGAAGGAGAGAGAGCGGGCGAACAGGACTGGCAGGTAGTGAGGCTTTCCTTCCCCCACAACCTGCAAGCCCAGTTGAAGAGAACATTTTTCCGTAAAGAGGTGGCTGCTCTTGTTACGGAGTAAGACGCTGTAGTTATTTACCACACCCTCCAAATAAGATCTATTTTTTGTTGTAGAGTAGAGCTGTGGACAGACTAATATATACGTCTCAAAAACCTGTCAGGTCAATTAGCCTGCTTGCCGTGACCTTAGGCAAACCGAAGGTGTCTGCCTCGGTTTCTTTATCCGACAACACGTGATACAGAGCTTGGCCTGTGTAGTTCACAGGCTGTTGGGACCATCAAATGTGAAAGTGCTGTATGCTGCAGAGAGAACCAAGTGCTTATGTTAAAAAAAAGGTGGCAGTGAGAAAACCGAACAGCTGCCCTTTGTTCATCTGTCTACAGGATGCAAAAACAAGGAACAGCCCTGCAATTTGAATGTCATTTCTTAGGGGATGGCTTCTGGGTGGCCATGACACTCTGCCTCATGAACCCTAGAGAAAATACAGACTAAAGAGCCTCACTAGTTAGGAATAATTAGGGTGAACAGCCCACATTAAGAAAAAAAGAATGCAGGCACAGAGAAGTTTACGTCGGAAACAATTGTGTGTGTTCCTTTGAAGTCAGCGAGAACCACAGAGAAGCACGGCTCTCGGGGACACCAGACTGAATACTCTCAACGCCCCTGCATGCCGATGGCCCTGATGTATTTTCATGTCTCAGTGTCTCTACCAAGGATCTGTTCACCTAAAACGCACTTTGCAGCATTTTAATAAGTCTTGGGATGAGCAGCTAAATACCAACAGCCAAGAGACATTTACCCATAATTTGTGCATGCAGCTGCGAGCTTCAACATGCACAAACCCAACGAGCCCCAGACAGTATCACCAGCCATCAGGCTGTGTTCTTCCCCCGAGAGCACAGTCCTCCCAGGAGGGTGGCCCCTGGGCAAGCCCATGAGCCGGCCACTGCAGCTGGCAGAGTCCAGCTCTCTGCCTGGACACTGGTTTCACAGATGTGTCCAATTTGAGACAATTCATCAGATGTCCATCTATAATCAGTGAATTTGTCTTTAGTGTATCATATTGAAATAAAAACTTTATCTTATCTAAGGAAACCCAAAAAACAAAACACTTGGACTACTAGATGCTATCCCTGTGGGCTGAAAATGGACGAAGGGTAATTGGTCCAGGGGGCACTTGGGGACACCCGTGGCTGTGAGAGAGGATGGAGAGGGGTGAGAGGACGAGTGCAGACCGGACACTGCAGCCCCATGGAGGCACAGGGACAGAGGAGCACACACTGTAGCCCTGACAGAAGCGCCTGGGCTGTCCAAGTGTCAGAAGACCCCGCACTTACTTGTCAATACTGGATTTTGTGTCAGCAATCTTGTTTAGGCTGGATATCTTGAATCCATATGCATTGCCTCGTTGGCCTTTATTCATGTAATTTCCAAATGCCAAAACAACTTCTAGCAACTGCTTCAGGGCACTGCTCCTAAACACCTCTTCTGAGCCAGAACGAATCGCTTCAAAACAAGATGTACAGAAACCCAACTATTACAACCAAGACTTTTCAGAAATACCCACCTTAACTTCCACACAACTAATAGCATCTATTGAGGGTGTAAGATTGGGTTGTTAGACGAGTGGGGCACTTCCAAAACACCTAAACTAGGAGCAGAGGGCAAGGCGACAGGCAGAGGCAGCGGAAGTTGTCTCAGAGACCCCGCCCCAGCCCCCGGTCAGCTGCATGATCCTACCCTGTTCCAGGCCTTGCCTTGCTGATCAGTTAGAAGGGCTTAGAAAGACCCGGGACAGAAAGTGCACTTCCCACTTCCTTTGCAATCACTTTCTTGCCCAGGGTGAGTGACATCAACAGGATTACTGATCGATTCCGCTGACGGAAAAAGTGGTCCAATGTGCTACACGTGACAGCTTGCAGGTATCCTCGGGGACCAGGGCTCAGGCAGGGTCCTGATTCCAGCCCGCCCGCTGGGGCTGTGCTCTTTAGTTGCCTTGACCACATTTCAAACATTTACAAATTTAATGGCCTCAACACCAACCCATATTTATAGCCTTAAATCTTCTTAGAAAAAATCTAGGGAGGCCCTGTTGCAAGAAAGCTAATTAAAGGTTGAATGCTAGTGGCAGTGAGATGTGGTCAAAAGCCCAATCCTGCGAGGAGCCCGGGAGGTGTGGCCAGGTCAGCAAGCCAAGCGCTGACCTGACGGAATTATCCATGAGAATGCCAAAAGATCCCGGGCAAAGAAATCACCGCAGGAATCCTGCTTACTCTACGCACCGCGACTGCACTTGTATATGGGCACTTAAGACGATCATTATACTCAATCAGGGCTGCTTCCCTTTGACTTTACCTTCCACTTTGGGTTTAACTTCTGCCACCCGCTCTGCAAACTTCTTTTTGAAATACAGCGACTGCAATCTTTGCTGATAATGATTAATTCTGTAAGAATAAGCATAGAGTAATGAACTTTCACTTAATACGTCCATGCTCACTCAATGGGTGTGGAGGCGGGGTACCTCAGAGCACTCTCTCCAACCCCCAAACTCACCCCCCCCCCCACCGGGAGCACAGGGCAGGAGACACTTGGCCTGGAGGGCCCAGTTTCCTCTGACCCACAGGGGCTGTTCTGGCAACTGCACCAGGGCATCGCCTCCCATCAGATTAGGCAGTGGGTGGCTGCTACAGACTACAGCCCCTTCCCTTCCTTGGAGTTCCAGCTGCTCTAGGGAACAGAGAAGGGATTAAAAAGCATGTAAATGATAAGACTCCCCATTCTGCTGCAAATGAAGGTTTGTTCCCTGCTCTCCTCCCTTGCCTCTTAGCTTTCCATAGAGTTTGCCCATGGAAAAACCACAGAGCAGAACCGCCTCCAGCATTCTCTCATATCATGCTGCCTCCCTCACAGCCCCAAACCCTCCTCTTTCTTCCAGTTAGTTCCCTGTTTGCTCCCTCAGGGCCAGCAAGCTCTGACTTCCAAGATAGTAAACTAGCTACTCGAGATCACGAGGATGCTGGTCACCACTGAGGTTAGCAGTTCTGTGCTGCTGAGGGGTGAGGGCAGGCATTATGGCCCAGACCTTTGGGAATTACTGCCTAACCTGCTCTCTGGTGGGAACTCCAGTCCAGTAGGACCAGGGATCAGCCCCTCCTCCAAAACTATACTACAGAGTCAGATGGACCTGGGTTTGCAGCCCAGGTTCTCCTTTTATTGGTGACCTTGGACAGGAAGCGTAACTCCTGTTTCAGGGAAGAGAACACCTCTCTGGACCTCACAGTCATCCTGGCAGGGCTGACGGGAGGGTTAACTGAGATGCACACAAAGACCTGGGCAACGACTAAGTGGCACCTACTGCGGGTGGCCTTCTGGTTTGCCTGCACACAGGCTGCTGCTGGGTACACCTGCCAAAACTTGGAAACCATCCTTTGTTCTACTGCAGCAGACAAGTTCAGATAGAACAACAAACATAAGTCTGCAGAGGGCAGAAAGTGGGTAAGAGGCATGTCCACCTTGGCCACGTTTGCTGGACTTCGGCACCGGGAAGAGCTGTGCCCTGGGGTGGACTGAGAGGTTCGGGACCACTGGTCCTTCTCTAATGTGGAATCAATTAGCTAGGCCTGGGGTGGCAAAGACACTCAGCTCACATGCCAAACTCGATTAAGATGCAGTGGCTGCCTCAGGGACTTCTGGGGAAGAGCTGAGAAAGCTTGCCAAGGCTCTGGGGGCAGAATGCCACGATCGATTACTGATGCCTGCACGTGTCATGGCTTGACACTCAGACCCCGGCTGTCCAGTCATGTGGGCTCCAGGCTGACATCCCAGAGTCTCCCCATTGTTTCCCATTTTAAAACAACTTGAGATGCTGAGGAAGTAGGGGAGGGAGACACAATCCCCCCCAAATCACAGCGGTGTGGACAACAAACGATACTGACTGAACCCAGGACCAGGTGTGCCTTGAACAGGTCAAAGCTCCTAAGTCGAAACGACCCAGAAGTAGCAGTAATTGTGATGAAACCCTGACCCTGTCTCACCCATGGACAAGAACTCAAGCAAACAAATTCCACACAACGCAGACTCAAAAAGATTCCGGAATTCAAAAACGCTTCAAGTTAAACCAAACAATTCAACCTGAGTCAAAAGGTTAAGTTCCTTTAAAAAGTAAGGGGCATCTTTACTTTTTAAGCATTTTTAAACTCACCGGCTCATCTCAAAAAGGAACCTGTCAGCCTTGGCCATCCGATCCAGTTCATGCTTATGCTCCTCCAGAAGGTCAATGTCACTTTTTTCAGGGACAAATTTCAAGAGCTAAAGAGTACACACAAATATTAAAAGTGAGGTTTTTAACTTAATTAACATCAGTAATTTTTCGCCCTTTCAGTTACATTGTCCCAAGATGAAATTTTAACTTTTGTTTCATTCATAAGCTCTGCTCACAAGTGATTACGCTGCCTCTCTAACTGCACTGGGGCCGCCCTTTGCCAGGGTATACTTTACACAGACTATTCGAGGGACCTTGCAGACGCAGCCCTCTAATTAGAAGACGATGCACGTGAGGTTGACCACAGGGCGGGCGTGTCATCATCAGAAACGGAGCCCGCCTCTGGACCCCTAGCTCCACGCCCATTCCTATCACATCATTCATGCTGGGACGAGCTGTTCTATGTGCACTTTCCATTCAGTTTGCTTGTCTGCCTTATCTAATTCCCTCCCCCCACCTCTCTTCTTCCCCTCCGTGTAGAGTTGGATGGGAGGAATGCAGTGGGATTTGAAGCTTTTGATTCCATATTTTATTTTGGAGGAAGAAATGAGCATGGAATGTGGAAGAAACAGCAGTAACATTTAAATTGGGAAGCGCACTTCTGTGTGTCTGATCTTTAAAGGAACAAGTATGTGTATGGGTATGCACAGGCCTGTGTGCTGTTTTCTAGACCAAATGTCTGTGGACATTAAAAAAAAATTACGCTGACCCCACGGACCTCAAGATCTTCCCCATAACGTGATGCTAACATTGGGTGGTCCACTGAGCAGGTTTCAGATGTTTGTGGGATTTAACTACGGCATCTCAGGAAAGGCAGGCAGAATGGGTGCGGCCAGCAGAGGGAGAGAACTGGAACTACAGGGGAGGAGCGAATGATACGAGATTGGAAATATATTCCGGGCAAAGTGCACACCATGTGCCAGGGTCTGCCATGGGCAACACAGCTGTGATGGCAGTGGAAAAGGGAAGCTGCGGTCAAGGTCAGGGAGTAGCAGTGGCCTTTGAAGAGGCTCAGACCTTATCTTGAGGGTACTTGGATAAACGGAAATCTTAAGCATTAGAGGAATGAGTCTGCGTTTCAAAAAGGTTCCTGTGCCTGGAGAATGGAGACAGAATGAGAAGGGACCCAAAGTATTAGGGGTTGTGACTGGATGGGTGAGGCGTCATCCAGGTGAGAGATGATGCTGGCCTAGGGAGGGTGGTGGGGAGAGTCTAGAGCTATTTAGGGGTTTTGATCAGAACTGGCCTGGCTTGTGGGTAGATGAGAGTAAGAAAGATGAGGTCCAGGCTCCTGGCTTAGGCAGCAATGTGCGTGGAGTGTAACAGGAAACTCAAGCAGAGAAAGCTGATGAATGGTAGATGGGTGGGTGGAAGATGAGTTTAGTGTCTGGAATACTGGCAAGAGAACCAAGTAGTGATTTCTAGTGCTCAGATGGACAGATGGGTCTGGAATCCTACCCGTTTTGAAGAGAAAGCCTTGGTATGGGTTGAAACGTGCAGGCACGTGAATGAGGCAACCTGGACAGCCACCAGGAAAAAAAAAGCAGGGCTCCAGGGAAGCCATCATTTAAGGGATGAGGCTAAGAAGAGGACCCTTCAAAGGAGGTAATGCGGGGGCCCGTGTGGAATCACAGGACCAAAGGAAGAAGGCATTTCACTGGGAGCAAGTGCCTATCACTGCCACACACCAGCAAGCAATCCAGGAAGATAAGGACTGTGAAGTGCCTCCTGGCTTTAGTGACAAGGACTTTGTGTGTTCTTAGCGAGAACAGCTTTACAGAGGTGGGGAAGATAGACTGCAGGGATTTGAAGAAGGGTAAACAGGAGGTGAGTAGGGCAGGCTTTCAAGAACATGGGCTGTGTCCAAAGAGAGGACAGCAGCTGGATGGGGATGTGCAGTCTTAAGAGGTGTGTGTGAGAAAAGCTGAGACTCAAACAAGTTACATGTCAAGAGGAAGAAGTGAAAGATCTAGGAGAGGGGTGGAGTCTCCAATTGGCTGGGTCCCTGAGCAGATGGATGGGATGGGCCAGGGACACCCCTCTTTCCTAATGGGGTGGAAGGGCTAGGAGGGGGGTGGAAGTGGATGCCAGGGAGTTCATAGGTCTGGTAGTCTGACAGCTTCTGGTAATTTACGTTCTGGTGTTCAGACCAATAGTGGACAGGACAAGAATCTTCCTGTGTTTCCTCAGTGCAAGGAGGGAAGGTAGCAGGCAAGGGCAAGGAAGAAGGAAGAGAGAAAAAAGGACTTGTTTTTCCCCCTTAATTTGGATTTTTATCTACTGGGCAAGGAACTGCAATTCCAGTCTTAGGTATTGCCCCTACTCATTATGTCTGAACCCTGTTCAGGATAACCCGGTGACTAAACTCTCTTTCATTATGTACAAAAGAACGGGAAGAAGAACATGCAACAGCGCAGTCCTTCTCAGAACACAGTCAAATAACAGACTGTGCATGGATAGTTTTGAGAGAAGAGTTAGACAAACACCAAGAAAGAGTGTATTGATCTCATCTGAGTTCTGAGGCTAGTAGCTGAAAGCAGCAGGAGAGGAGGAAATGAATATGGCTCAGATGCAAATGGCAGAGCCGAGGAAAGAGGTACTGGCGTCAATGCTTGTCTGGGAAGGGCGCTGTATGAAGGACGAGGAACCAGGGGAGAAATGGCAGAATCAGGAGGAAAGGAAAGAGCACGACACGTGAGCAGAGCACGAGATGCAGAATTATCAGAGACAGCAGGTCTGATAATCTGGCCAAAGTATCCTAGTTGGCCAGATTCTGCTTCAGGAGACTGATTTTCTTACTTGTATTTATTTGAAGTACATTCTATTTGCACTGCAAGCCCTTTTGGCAATATTCTGAAATCCCTTCTCTCAAGGAGGACTTTTTGCTGGATGCAATTTCACAGTAAACAGATCTTGTGGAATTTTAAATACATGACTTTGTCAATAAAGGCTGAAGGCCTAAAGACTAAGGCAGCTTTCTGCATAGCTCTTCACTCCAGGCCGGCAACTTCTGATGCAGACAACTGCGGTGCCTGGCCACTGGGGGCCAGGGAGGGGAAGGGACTGTTCTGATACACAGCAAGGGAGGGAGGAGCATGTGGAGGAAAAAATGAATCTGAGGTTTAGGAATTACTTTTAAACTCTTCATACACAGAGCATCCTAACAGACTTGGAAACGTAGTCATTAACTATTTTCGCGCCCAGATCAAACATTACAAGGACAGCATGAAGTTTCCCCACTGCTAAGTGTGAGGGTTTTCACCTAGGACAATTGCAGCTACAGTGGCTTCAGGGAGGGCGGCTCCATTTAGTTGTGGGGACACCGCATACATCACTCCTCCCTGCCCTGTATCTGAGGCCTATTAGGACACCAGTGAGAACCATTAGAAATGTACCTGCAGACAGGCACCCCACCTGGAGCTCCTCGCCACCCAAGATCATTGCCAGCAACACAAAAGATTCTCTTCCTCTGCTCTTGGGAACTGAGCATGCCCACAGAGAAGCCCCCAGGTTCGGCCTGGGATCACGACCGTTTGTGTCTAAATCAACCTTCAGTGTACTTGCCTCTAACAAACATGGACCTCAGGGCTAACATCCCTCAAAATATGATTCTGTCCCAAGGACAGTGAGATAAGCAGACAGTCTTAGAGCATTCTGAGACCATCTCTACAAAGCACGGAACCAGAGACAGGCGTCAATCCCTAGTGTATCTGCTAGTTAACAACACTGTCGTTAGAGGGACAAATGAACAAAGCTGCTGAACACTGTGTGACACAGTTGGAGAGGCTGCACAGGGCGCATTGCAGAAACGCTGCATGAAGGGAGGCGAGGTCGCCGCACTCGACTTGCCTGCCAAGGATGATACAAACTGTCTCCAAACACCATGAACAAGGTGTGCGCTGACTGCATGTAAACTCATCCCATACCTGCTTGTCCTGGCAAACGAATGTAGCGCCGTTTACGACACGAGGAATGCCACACGATGTCGAGACAAGACTGAGCCCCAAGAAGTTTAAATCCCACCTTAGGACATACATGAGTATTTAGATGCAGATGACAGCACTAGGGGTTTATCCGTGGCTTTGTGGTAGTGAGACTGGCGAGCCAAGGCCAAGACATGTGCGATCCCATGGTGCTAGTGAGATTCCCAGTATTCCCGAGGAAGGGATTTTCCACTAAAGCTGATAGGTGTGTAAGACCTACAGGGGCCCAACAATGTAACAGCAGCACGAGGGACAGAGCTGGCACTGTGATCCCAGGCATTTGACAGACTTGTTACCTGGCTTCTCACCAATCCTTTTGAGGAGAGAATAAAGTTATACAATTCCTAAAAGAACCCTATGGAACCTGGGCTCAAACACCTCAATTCAGAGATGAAGGAACTTTCTACCAGCAGCAACCAGATTTTCTCACTCTCTCCCTCTCTGCTGAGAGTCAGCTGTCACTTGTGCTCTGAGGTAAGTCGGGCAGCTCACCTGCTCCAACATGTCCTTCGGCAGATCCTCCTGCTCGTCCATTGTTAGAATTGCCCGTTTGATTTCATCATTGGATAACTTCAATCTGGAGAGAGAATATTTTGTTTTGTTGTTAACGATACTGGCTTGCGCATTAAAATTTAATGGAAGATAATTCATTGTGCTACTCCAGCTGCTGATTTTCAAGTGCTGTTTTGCTCAAAAATCTCTCAGTAAAAGCTTATTTCCTGTCAATATTGCACCTAAAAATAGTATTTTGAAACTGCGTTGACATTCTTTCAGGGCTTTGTAATGCTCTGCTGACACAGCGAACAAAGCCGTTATGTTCTGTTGTCTGGTTTCCTCAAGCCTCGAGGGGTTATCGGATGAGGAGTAGGGACAGCGCTCACATACCACCGTTTCTTTAATGCATCCACGGGTTGCAGGTGAAAGAGGAAAACTAAAATCTTACTTTGATTACATATCAGCAGTGTTTAATTAAACCTTGCTGCCATATTCAAAGTGGCTTTAAATAAGTTTAAGAGTCTGTTATTGTTAAAAAATTGAACAACAAGCCCTGGCTGGTGTAGCTCAGTGGATTGAGCACGGGCCTGCGAACCAGACAATCACGGTTCGATTCCCAGTCAGGGCACATGCCAGGGTTGCAGGCAGGTTCCCGGCAGGCCACTTCCCAGCAGGGGATGCACAAAAGGCAACCATACATTGATGTTTCTCTCCCTTTCTCCTTCCCTTCCCCTCTAAAGATAAATAAATAAAATCTTTAAAAAAAATTGAACAACAGTTAATATACAAAATAAAATGTATAAGGACTTCATAGTTGAGTTTTCACATGTTACTTCATCTGAACTTCAAAATAGCTGTGGTCTTTTTTTTTTTTAAATAGAGGAAGAAACTGAGGCTCAGAATAGTTAAGTAATTTGCCCATGGTCAAATATACAGAAAGTAGCCGTGTCTCCCACAAACCCAACATTCTTGACTGCTAACCCCAAGTTCCTTTTATAAGCATTGCTCTCCTGAAATATCTCACAGGGAAGGATTTAAGCAAAATCACAAATCCATTTTCTGTGTACTGTGAATTTATATGATTCCCTAACGTAATTAAGGATGTATCGATTATGTCAGGACACCAGAGTGTTGACTATAAAGAGTCATGAAATTAAGATGTAAATACGTTTTAGCAGGCACAACTAGGAGTCATAACCAGGGCAACAATGTCTCCATCAGATTATCAGCTACAACAAGCCATTCTTTTGTTTTGTTTGTAAGTATTAGATCTAGACTTACTTTAAAAGCTTACTTCTTTACAAGCTGCCACTAATGTGGCATATTAATGTCATTTGATCTGTTCTTCTAGTCTGTGATCTTCAAGAAGAACAACATTTAGGACTAGAAAGACATAATTAAGCTCAAATATAGAGCAAAGCGTACAGCCCTCTAATGTAACGTCTGAAACAGGAGCTTTAGCGTCAGACAAGCTGGGTCCCAGACCTGGCTCTGACAGTTCTTGGCCAGTGTGACCTTGAAAAAAGTTTTGCTTTAGCCTCAGTTTCCTCATCTATTATACAGGGACAATAATAACTACATCTAGATGAGAGAGAGAGAGAGAGAGAGAATAAAGTAAAATAATACTTGTGCATGTAAACTGTTTAGCATACTGCCTGACCATTGAAGGGCTCAACACACTGTAGAATATACTCTATAAGGGAGGTTTTTCTACACCAGAGGAGAAAAGGTAGCAATACTTAATGGAACTTTAATAGTCATATGCAGTTATTTGATCATTAAACAATGCTTCGTAGGGTTATTAGGAATAATTTCCAAAGTACTCTCATACCTATTATTTCACTATAGTTTCTTCTCTGCACACACTCACTACCCATTAAGCTTGGGAGTATTTAAAAAGAGTTAGAAGACGTGGTATTTATTTTAAAGGTGAGTATAATGTTTGAAATGATAAGCTGAAACACGCAAGACAGAAGAGCACGTCAGGCACACAGGACACACGGGAGGGCTGGATGGGAGCAGGGCGGGCACGAAGGCCGTGGAAGGAGGACAGAATGCCAGGTGGAGCCCACTCTGGACACGTCTGGCTTGTCCTTCCCTGTAGATTTTGACGTGATCTTGTTAAAACCACCCATCCTGCCACTTAAACTGAACATGGTTTCACGTGCCAATCGGCAGGACCAGGAAGGAACGGAAATTTGGGAATCCTATTTTACTAATACCATGCTCTCTTCTTTCATGTTTTCATATCCAAATACAGCATGTAGGCAACATGCCCAATTGTCCATTTCTAAAAATAAAATAAAATAAAATAAAATAAAATAAAATAAAATAAAATAAAATAAAATAAAAGCCCAGTCTATCGCCTGGTCTGAGTCCCAGTACCACCAGACTCCTGTGCTGTGGCCAGCTACCCTGGATCTGAGCAGACTTCCACAGATTGTTTCAGCCACCGGGCACAATCGGTGCCTCATGCCTCATAAATTTGATGTTCATTAGAACATCACGATGGAAAAGCCCCAAACTTACATGGAACAACTAGGCAAGTTGGCATGGGTAAAACATACGATGGAAAAAAGACTATCCCAGCATCAAGGCCTCCACCATACACATCCTGGGCAGCCCCTGGATTCAGGACACCAAAGGCTCTTGAGTTGATTGAGGGCCAACCCCACGGCACGGCCCTGCAAGGCCAAGGAAGAGGAACATCAGGGAAGGCTGAAACTGCCACTAATGAAAGCCAACTGGGTGTGGAGACGTCTGTAGTCACCACGAGAAAAGCGCCACTTATAAGAAAAAAATAAATTAGTTCTGTGTCCTTCTTACACTAAGCTGAAGAAACCACTTTATGGTACAGTTCTGCTGAGTCCTTCTGTTTTGCATTTAAAAGAAAAAGAGCTGAAAATCAGAGTGAGAACAATACTTGAAGTATCAGACTTGCATTTCATTAGCTCCCCATATGGAGCGCAGAACTTCTTGCTTTTGAAATTGTATATATATTTATGCTCCTCAACGCACCCCCCACCCCCCAAGAGGCTGTCTGGACTAAACGCGAGCTCTAATTCATAACAATTTTGCTTTCTCTTAATGTAGCCCACAAAGAGACTTGAGATTTTAATGGGTAGTACTTAAGAAAATCTACCTGTCAACATTCTGCCTTGCACGTGGCCTGTTGGAGCAGACAAAGAAACTACCTTTGGGGAAAGAGGAGAAGGGTACGCCGCCCTCCGGGATGGTTCCATAGGTTGCCGAGTTCTTAGTATCATCTGTCATTCACAGAATGAGTTGCTAATCTCTGTAATTTAAGGACCCTACCAGTTCTAACCTTTTAATTGCTTTTAAAGCTTGGCAGTGCTCTGGTGTGCTGGAGGGTGGCAACTTCGGAGACATCCACTTCAACTTTCTTTACAAGGCAGGAAACAAACTGGCCATTTCAAAACAGTATTTAAATCTACCTTGCTCTGCTCAAGTATTTCAAAAATGTGCCAAGAGAATTGAAACATCCAGGCGTAATTACAGTAAGTTAGGAATGGAGGCTACATCAGCCTTAGCTCTGCTTCAGTGGATTTAAGCCAAATCCTCCTACTTTAAAGTAGCTTTTTGTGGTTTACTACACCCTGGCTGCCATGGTAAGTGAGCATCTGGAAAAAGAGAACGGCAGGACACTTTAGGAAAGTGTTTTTTAGGGGAGTTCATTTTGCATATAAACCAGCTTCCAGGTTTCTTTTTTATTTTTTCTCTTTTTGGAAGCGAGAGGTCTGTTTTTGGGAATAAAGCAGAGTGAGTTTTAGGTGGCCACACACTGCCTACAGACACACAGAGAAGCTCGTTCTGCCTGGGGCCCAAGGAGTGGGCTCTCACTCCACTCCCTCCTCAAGTCTGTGAAAGGCGGGGGTCCCTGATGGCCGAGCTTCTGATTCAAACTCTGATCTTCCGACTACTCTTTCTCGGCAGTTGCGAGTAACCCTGGCCACTCATGCCAGGAGCATGTAGAATGGGCCTGTGCCTTCTTCCCTGCTTCGCCCCTGGGACGGCAAGGGCTTTCTTTCTGACTGTCTGCCCAGCCCTAGGTGAGGCTACGGCAAGGGCCTCTGACCAAAGTGTCCACGGCCACTGGCTTTCGTAGTGTGTGGGTAAGGAAGAGCTTTTAGGGATAACCAAACACTGTGGACACATGTACTCATTAAAGTGGAAAACATCAGACTTCTCACTGTGGTGAAATTCAGTGTGATGACTGCATTGCTGGGTATTAAATTCCTAGTCAGCAAGATAAGAAACAGAGAGAGTTGCTATCCTTTGGGAATGAAATATGCAGAACAGAAGAAAGAGAGCAAGCGTGAAATGGTAAGAAATCTTGACGCCAACTTGGAAATGTTTCTAATTCACTGTCTCCACGCACAGACTCAGTCCTCATGTCCTCTTCAGAGTTTCCTCATCTCCCTCAGCTCTGTCCCTTGTTAGTCTCACCTGGACAAGAGAGGCGCCTCCCACCCGGGGCTGCCTTTGCCTCCGGTTCCTGGCCCCTTCCAGCCTATCCTGTGAACTTCTGAGATATCGTATGTGCAACTTTATTAAAACAAAGTGCCCTCCTCCCAGACAAACTGCCAATCTCTGATCACATGGGCACACACACAGGCCACCGACTGAGCAGCTACCACACAGAGGCACCTTGCCAGATCCAGTCCTCACAAGCCCACTGCAGGGCGACTGCTTCCATCTTCTCCACTTTATAGGCGAGGAGGGCATGGCTCCGTCCGGGGCTGACTCGTGCCCTCACCAAGGCACCAGGCCTGGAGCGCAGGCTCTCCTGCCTGGTCTCCTTCAGTCCAGGAGATAACAGTCTGCTGCCTTCCCAGGGCTCTCGTTGTTAGCAGCCGATGCGCCTCCGGTGCCTTTTCACCCTGCTGCACACCTCCCTGGCACTGCCTCTGTCCCCCCACCCACATAACTGTTGTCGCCCTTCGAGGCCCACTGTCCTGGTAAGCCCTGCCGGTGCCCCTCTCACTTGGCCGGGCTCCTGTCTCCTTCCAGTCAGGCCACTCAAACCCCTGAACAGTTCACACACCACCTTGCCTGTGTCATCTTTCTTCTCCAATCAGCCATGAGCTTCCCAAGGCAGCAGTGCTGGCTGAAGTGTGAGTACATCCGATGGCACCTGGCAGAGCGCCAGGCAAACTCTCTAATAAAAGAGTATCAAATGTGCTCTCACAGAAGCCCCTCCCTCCTTTGGTGGGTAGGAATGCATTGCCAATGAAAAGGGAAGAACAAAAGCAAGGGAAACTGCTGACTGGTTAAAAAACCTAAATTAAAAAAGCAAATTAAAATGAAACCTGCTTGAATTCTGCTACCTTTACCGCAGCACATGTGGCATGCCAGCCTGAGGGGAGAGCTAAAACTATTGATCACTGAGCAGACAGGCATGTGTTAATGAATCCCCGGTGGGAGAGAAGGTTTTAGAATCTGATCAATAAAACTCAATTACCATTAGGTCAACTGAGACTCAAACTTACTTAGTTATGCACAATAACTTTTAATTATGGGCACTGTAGTAGCACTTATTCATTAAACTGGATTTTAATAGATAATCTAACAAATACAAGGGATGTCCTCAAAACTGTCTTCTAGAGAGAGTTCAGACACACTCAAGTTCTAAGTCACTTTAGACTCTGACACTTTGGAGGTAACAAGGGAGTTACATACCACAAATATGAAATAATTCCTTCAATTACGGGAATGGAAATTTGCCAGCAAGAGATGTAACCTTATCTATAACTAGCGTAATTACCCTAGTTGGCACTAGTACTGAGAATAATCTTCATGTAAGGAAGTGGGGCACAATTTAACTTATACTCCTATGGGCACTTAAACACAACGGAAACTCAAGAGTGATGTCTCCCTTTGTGAAATTGTTTTTAATATTCCTCTAGAAAATACAGGAAAAAATTCTAGAATCAAAATCAAACTTCCTCCCAATTTTAATTTTATTTTGCTGTTGAGGATGCTATTTGTAAAAAGAAACTGAAACAAAACAGGGCACACAGCGCAGAACGAAAACAAGAGAACCTCCGATTATCTTCAGTGGCCTCGCCCTGCGCATGCGGCGGGCGGAGGGAGTGGGGGAGATAAAGGCAGGGCCGGCCGCGACCACAGCTCCCATTCTTCCAGCGGCAGAAATGAAAGGCCGGCTAACTAACGGCGTGGTTCACGTTACCCTACCAGCTGCTTTAAAATTCAGGGGTCCCAGCAGGCTTCAATTTCTCTTTCACGAAGAGAAACACTTGGTCCCTGAAGGAATATGTATCTGGCTAACGATCGAGCCTCCGTGCTGAAAACCAAGCAGCAGCTTTGTGTTAAAAGAAACCTACTCCACGGCCATTTGAAAACGAAGGACGACCACTTTCCCTCTTTGCTCTTCCTGAAAGAGAGGTCACCTGACACCAGCCCCAGTGCATACGCAACATTCTTTCTAGAATGTAACCAATGGGACTTGCACTTGAAGCCTCCAAGTTCAGGATTCTTTACATCTTCTTTCACCCATAAGCTTTAGGTATCTTTGCCTACTGTGAAAGTCCCTTTCAGAGAAGAGACTAGAGCCACATAGGCTACTTGAAATGCCCAAGATGACCTGAAGTGACAATCAGATTCCAGGCTCCCAAATTTCCTTTCTTCTTTTCAAGTTCCAAGGTTGTGATGGTTTACAAATCATAAGAAAGATTTCTGCACGGGGCTGAATTAGCTAAATTAGCATTTCATCGAGGTTTGGATTTACATATTCTTTTAGTCATAAAATGTTCAGAAAGAGTATGAAATCATATAACCTTGAAGTGTAAAAAGATGATTTTATAAGAAAAAAAAGGCTTCATTATTGGCCCTAATTCTGTGACACTGTTTCTCAACAGCCAAAATAACTCTGAAGCTGAAAAGTATAAATGAAAGTAAAGTCTGTTTTACAGGCTATCTGAGAGACAGCAAACAAACACAGACTCTGACTTGGCACGTTCTGCTTTTCAAGTGGAGGAGTCCACGGAAAGGACACTGAGAAAGGAGGCAGGCAGCTGGTGGGCCCCCCGGGGATGCGCGCACCGCAGCTGCCCGCACCTCCGACAGCGGCCCGTCTGAAGGACAGCACCTCGGCCGAGGCCGGTTGAAAGAACAGGTAAAAACATGTGTTTTGGAGCCACATGAGAGAGACACCGGTCCTACCAGAAATGTTTACTCAACATCCATAATACCTCGAGAGAAGGATGTTGCAGTTCTGAGCCCTCCGACCGTCAATCACCGACAGCTCCTTGACTTTCAGTTTGGAACTCAGTGTGTCATCGATGGCGTCTGCTTCTTTCTGCAAAGAGTGTGAAAGAAATGCATCACAGTCCAACAGGGCATTGCCACTTCAGACGCACACCGTTCCTTTATAGTTCCTCTGTACACACATACACATCCACTCCCGCACACACAACAAAACTGAGGTGGTTGTGGAGGGGAGCGTAGGGAGGTGGCGGAATTGAAACAAAGACTACCATCTAGTCGACCAAAACAAATAATAAGAAAAGCTGACCACCCACATTTGAAAAAGCATTATCTGGAAGAACAAAGTGCTTCTAAGTTGAAGAAGCTAAGTGTGCATAAATTATCAGTGACCGGTGCCCTTCTTTTGTCCCCCACCTCCCCATGGATAGCAGACAGAACTGTCACTATGAATCATGATCAGCTGCGGCCTGCCACCACCGGTCCAGCCATTCGCAGGGCACATTTACCCCAGAATTGTTTGCATCCTGAGCACTCAGAAAGCTGAACAAAAAGACCCCCAAACGTCTTCATGTGCAACAGGAAGCTCCCGGGCCTGCGTGGGACCTTCCATTACCCTGGACCCTGATGGACGGTTCAAAGGGAGGGGACAGCTCGAGGCACTAGTTCGACTACTTGAGTTAGCAGTGAAACACTACTTGCACACTCTGCTGCTGTACAGAAAGCTGTAAGCAATGATGGCCAGTCATAATTTATGGAGAAACATAAACAAGTATATATGACATAGTTTGAGTAAACTGGACATCAAGGTAAAAGCACAGACCAACTTGATAAATAGCAAGTGTGATCTTATTAGAGATCAGGATCCATTTAAAAAATGGATCAGGGCTTTTAAAGAAATGCAAGGAAACCAAGGAGCTCTGGAATTGTATAACCATTTAGAAAACAAAGACAATGTGGGATTTATAGCGAGAAGCACTGTGTGAACAAACTTAACAACTGTCTTTTCTGTTGATGAGATTTCAGCTAAGAGTTGAAACCGAATGTGAAATCACCTAGATACTGCATGACATCATCTGAACCAAACGGGATAACCAAGGTGTTTCCAGCTTCCACTGATCCAAGGAGTTTACACTAAGCAAGGTTTAGGCAGTAGTGCACTTACCTGTTTGGAGTTACTGTTCACAAAGAAATCCTACAGCCATGGCAGAGGCATGGAAAAGGCAAATCAGACACATGCAGTTCAGAAATCACAGCAACAAATTTGTGAAAGTCAAGGAAATCAGTGACACAGTAAAAGAGGTGATTTATAGCCCCAGGAGTGGCAATAAGAGTTAATGAAGATGGGAGAGCCGGGCTGAAAACACAAAGGGCATGGTGCCGAGCACTCGGGGCAGAGAAAGAAGACGGCATGTGCTGTGCCTCCTTTGCACTGGTGGAAATCAAATTGGGAAAAGAAAGGACTTAAAACACCCCAGAAAGACGCAGGTTGGAAACAACACATCCTGTTTGAAAGGACCACTGGGCTTCATTTATTCAATACGACTTTTGCAGTTAAAAAAAATCAATTGAATCAACTTAAGGAAATTATTCCCATTGTCATATACTGCTAGCAATATATTTATGGTGGAAGTAATCCTCTGTCCTCTTGTGTCACAAGGAAGGATTATGAAAAGACAGAGGACTGGCTCAACAACATAGGTCAGTAATAGTATCCCTCAGAATGCAAACAATGCCTGTAGGTGCTACAGGTAGGTATGAGGAAAAGGACAGAAGGTACAATTGTGAGACAATGAGGGATTCATGTGGTGTCCAGCCACTGGTGGCCTTGTCCCAACTGCCTCAGGGCTGTTTCAAGCATGCAAAAGTCAATAGCCTCTTCTTGAAATAGTCCACAGGGGAAAAAAAAGACTTAAGTGAAGAAGAAAAAGAGGAAGAAGTCATTGACGAGTTATGAGAAAGTTAGAGCTTTCTTTGCATATTTTTGCCATGATGGAATAAATACAGCTTTGGTGCGCAAAACACACCTCAGCTTTCAGGCCAACCGCTTGCACAGCCAGCTTTGCTCAGCCAATTCCTCAAGGCCTCACTGGTCCTGGCAGCACCACCAGGCCAGCTTCACACGGACGCCTTGTTTCATATCATTCTTCTACTGGAACACAGGAGTGCCCTCCTCTGGCTCTGCCCATGTAAGAAGGGACTGCTTTTCTAGAATGGCATTTAAAAAATAGTTTGATAACCACGCGAAAACTTTCTTCTCCTCTGATGTCAGTTTTCTTTTGTCCCTGTTGTCATTGTCCATTTTTCTACTCTGAAACTCCTTAGAACTCTTTCCCTGTAAAAGCAGTTTCTCCCTTCAAGTGCAGAAAAAACTAAGGTGACGTGAACTCCATGAGGTCTTACCCTACCTTTTCTTACTCAAAGAGACAAGTTGCTGGTTGAATTTAGATCTGGCTCTCACTGTCTGGCCTTCAGAAATGAAACTTCTCTGGTAAATCTCTGTAAGTTCCCACCATCAGGAAATTGAGATTTCTGCCCCAAGTGTAATAATGGGCTGTGGAATCAGGCAACTATCAATAACTAGGTATGTTCCAGCTCTCAGTCTGTCTGTAACATGAGATCAACAACTAGATTGTTGTATGTGTGTGTGTTTTATTATTAGTTTATGTACAGTTGTCTCCATTTCCCCCCACCACTACCCCCCAACCCAGCCACCCCCACCTCCCACCCTCGATCCTACCCACCTTTGGCTTTGTCCATGTGTCCCTTATACATGTTTCTTGATGACGCTTCCCCCTTTTCTCTGTTATCCTCTCCCCCCACCCCTCTGGTTACTGTCAGTTTGTTTTTTATTTCAATGTCTCTAACAACTCAATTGTTCATGTGAGGACTAAATGTTGCATATAAAGTTGCATATAAAGCATTTTGTATGGTACCTGTTATGAGCTCAATACCTGGAAGCTATCATAAAACTATCTTCTATTTCAAGCTGAAGATTAAGTTATTTTTTTCTCCTATTGTTCTGCTTTCAGCTGAGTTGAGGAGCAGTTGGTCAAAATCTCCCATTTGTAATCATCAGCAGCAATAAGTGTCCCAGTTAACAGCTCAGCAATGTATCTTCCCTTTCCAGAGGCGAGGATGAGGAATGCCACGGGAGAGTTTGGTTCACTGTTAGCCTTGCAAATGCCTCTTCTTTAAGAGTCCTTTCATCATCACATTTTAATTGAAATCACAAAGCTTATTGGATGGGGTATGATAAAAATAACAATGTTCCCAGTCCTATTTCAAGTAAGTTAACATTCTTTTCTGAAAGTTTAAACTCTTCACTAACTGGCTCTAACCAACATGACAGAATCATCTGTATGTGGCTCCACATAACTCATTTTTCCAGATGATTTTTGGTGTAGAGCATTGGGTGTGGAATGTAAGTAGGAACTTGGGACTTGCACTTTCAGAAGCTGGTACTGATAGATTCCTATAGATAGAATTCCACAATGAAATAAGGACTCAACACTTCTTGGATAATAATAGCCCTTACGTGAATGGTTCTTAATCTTTTTGAGGTTGAGATTCCTTTGCAAATCTGGTAAAAGCTAGGGATCCCTCTCGAGAAAAATGCATATACTAATATTTATATAAACTCTACATTTGATTAACTCTTACCATGAAGTCTAGTTATAGAACATCTGCCTTACAGTCTTAAGAAAAACCATCATTTACAATTTTCTCTTTGGCATTCATGTATCATAGCTAAGGACCAAGATTACTCAAATAAATATTCTAAATCACATTTTTTCAATGTGGAAACTAGATATACAAAATAATAAAAATGTTTGCAGACTGGTACAACCACTATGGAAAACAGTATGGAATTTTCTCAGAAAACTAAAAATGGATCTGCCTTTTGACCCAGCAATTCCACTGCTAGGATTATACACAAAGAACCCTGAAACACCAATCCAAAAGAACTTATGCACCCCAATGTTCATAGCAGCACAATTTACAATAGCCAAGTGCTGGAAGCAACCTAGGTGCCCATCAGTAAATGAATGGATCCAAAAACTATGGTACATTTACACAATGGGATTCTATGCAGCAGAAAGAAAGAAGGAGCTCCTACCCTTTGCAACAGCATGGATGGAACTGGAAAGCATTATGCTAAGTGAAATAAGCCAGGTGGTGGAAGACAAATACCGTATGATCTCACCTTTAACAGGAACCTAAACAACAAAACAAACAAGCAAGCAAAATATAACCAAAGACACTGAAACAGAGAACAGGCTGACAGGGACCAGAGGGGAGAGGGGAGGGAATTTCAGGGGAAAAGGGGAAGGGTTTACAGAAACAAGTATAAAGGACACATGGACAAAAACTAAGGGGGGGTGGAAATGGGAGGGAGGGGGGAGTATTGGGGGGTGAGCTGGGATGGGAGTAAAAGACAAAACTATACTTGAACAACAATTTAAATAAATAAATAAATAATAAAAAACAATATACAGATGAAGTATTATAGAATTGTACATCTGAAACCTATATAATGTTATTAACCAATGCCATCCCAATAAATTCAATTAAAAAATAAATAAAAGCTCCCCAGGTGTAACTATGGTTAAAAAAAAAAGAAAAATGTTAAAAGAATAAGAAAAATTCTTTGACCACTTATAAAAATCAGAAGATATCATTAAAAGTTTCAAAGGGACCCCCCAGAATGACTTGTGCAGTACATATCAGCTGGAGAGATCGGACTGTGGACCTGAGATGGCAGTTACCCTTTGTGCCCTGAATCAGAGCAGAAAGGCTTTCTATGTGCTGACAGTTCAACCTGTAAAGAACAGGTGTCCCCAGGCAAAGAGCAGGGAGGAGGAATGAAGACAGTGAGCTGTTAATTTATTGCTACAAAGATATGGCTCCCCTTCGGCAAATGTCAAGTTCATTTCCCTCTGTCCAACTACATGGATAGGGAGAATGAATTTATAACATCTCGAAATAAACCTTCCTGGAGAACCAAGATGAATAGTACCTAATTGTATGTGAATTAGCATTATTATGTAATGCACTACATTATATAGTAAAATTAAGTCTTTTGTAGCTGTCTGTGTAATATAGTTTTAATGAGAAAAAGGGGTTTTGAGATTAAAGAAACTGACTTTCAAATGAACTTTTGGAATGTGAGCAGGGGAATAACCGCACAATATTAAATTCCATTTCATGTGGCACATAAGCTTACATAATCAGCTCTGTACACCTTTGATATCCACACCAAAAAAAAAAAAAAAAAAATCCTGAATAAGAATGGTCTTGTTCTTAAAACTGCAGTTTAAGAAAATCCTTTCCAAAACCTGACCTTCATAATGAATAAAACCATGGCATCAGAACAACGGGAAACTAAGAATCAAGCTACATGTACACCTGACTGTGCCCAAGGTGACTGTGCCACCTGTTGGGACACAAACACCACTGAGCCATTTTTTACTTTCTGTGAAACAGGAGTAACACTCACTTCATAAAACTAGTGTGAGGATTAAATTAAAAAATAAGTATAAGAGCTCCCTGAGAACTGAACTTCAGGGCTGATGAAAGTGGGAACTGTACACATCGTACTCAGTGTCAAAACTGGTGATCAGCTTTGATTACCATCTGCTAGTTTATCTTATGGTTCTTTAAAGATTTCTGTCATCTCTGCTTTTATTCTCCAAGTTGCACTGCAAGCCTGTGCAACAGTTTAATACATTTGCATCATTTGAAGTACTTCATATACAAAACAGTGCAAATATTTGTCCTATTTTTAATGATACATTTCTCAAATCAAAGAAGCATATCTTGTGTATGAACATACATTTGTATAAAATCTTTCCTAAATGTCATTAATCAGTGTTCGCCTAACTTAAACTGACCTGATATTTGAGGCTTTTTTCCCTCCAAAATCTTCCTCTTGTAGCTCGCATACAGACAATGACATGCGTGTGTCCTTTTCCTCTCCAAGAAATTTACTCAGCCCCACAATTGGAAGACGTACATACAGAGAGTTTGACCAGTTTTTTTTTTTTTTTAACTATGGAGGGAATAATGAGGAGATATCATAGGAAAAATAGGTTCCCAGTATTCATTTGGGAGTGGAAAAGAAAGCAGTTCAAGTGTGATAATTACACAGTACTTTGCCAAGACTAAAATGAAAATGCATAGGTTTGACAATGTTATCAGTTACGAGACTAGGGGACGTTCCATGACAGTTACCCTGTTTCCTTTACTCTGTCTTAACAATGCCTGCATCTTTCGATTTTCTGTCTCTTAACATTCAGTATATTTAATTAAATGGCTCAAATTTCCTTCATTTGGCAAATATATTTATGGGTTAAAAGTTCTCATCTCAAATTCTTGCACCAAGAGGAGCAACGTACTTGAACCAAGAGGAGCAGATGTGTTGAAATTTTCCTCCAGGAAGTGCTATTGAAAATGTCACCAATGATTCTACTTACCAGTCTACTTAGTGTTAAGTACAACTGAAATGTTCTGGTCTTTCCTGACTGGAATGACTACTGCTTACTCAAACAGTGATTGGTTGCTAGGAGACAATTACCCAGTTGCCAGGCTTTCTGCAATCTTGTCTCCTAGAGCTCTGAGAGCTGTCCACATATTTGTCCCAGAGCATTTTGGCAGCATCCTTTTGCACCTTCTGCTGAAAACTAGTTAATTACGAGTCTTATAAACTTGGGTCTTTCAACCACCTGCCTTCATAATAAATGCAACCCACACACTCAGACTTGAATAGCATCAATTAGAATAGCTGCTGTTTTCCCTTCCTTTAATTTACTTGCCTAACTTTCACCTTCAGCAAGTGAAATGGTCCAGTTTTAGGGACTGAAACTGAAGTAGGAAACCAATGGGGAATGTAATGAGGTCACAAAATTATTTGAATTTACCAGGAAATCAGCTAAAATGGCCTAAGGCTTCATGTCAAGGCCCAAGGAATGTGTTCCTGCGACAGCAGAGAGAGGAAGCCCTTTGCTGCCCATCAGGAATGAGGCTGCACTGAACACCTGCTGTGTGAGGGCTCTGCACACATGCTGTATTTGAAAGGTAGAGTGTCTGGCTTCCCCCTGGACAGCATCTTACCGTCTTACCTTCCCCTTCTTCATTTCCCTTAATGGTGCATACGACCCCACACAAGTTTGCCTACACACTTCTGCGCGGCCCCAGCAAAGGGCTCTTGTTTTAGGGCTATGCTGCCATGACCGGCAACTGTTTGAGCTTCTGTACTTTTCTAAAACAAGCACTAAAATGCACTGCAGGGACGCTTTCCCTCTAAGTGAAAATATTCTGGCTAAAGGACATACCATTTTTTTTTCCAATTTGAGATGCCTCAAAGGTCATTTTGAAAATAAAAGCCCTCAGCTTGTTTCTCCCCCAGCCTCACGCCATCTTCTGCCCTGGTGCTGAGCAGTTCTGTTCCGAGAGAGTTTCCCTTAGGAACCAGGCCAAACCTAATCAGACTCGGAGGAGCGCTGAAGATGCGTTCCTGAGGATGCGTTCCTCCTATTTAAGACCTACTCTGCTCTCCTCACCTTTCCTCTCCTACAGTCATCCTTCTCACACTTGGGACTTCATGTTTCCCTTTCCAGATCCCACTCCACCTTTCCCTTGTTCTTCCAAAACCCTCTGAACCTAGCCACCTTGCCGTGACCTCTTCTGGTCCACCCTCAAGAGGTCCTACTAAGATGCCCTCTCAAGGGGTGAGAGGTGTCACAGATGTGGGGAAGGCTCACCCATGACACTGACTGGCCATGTCGGCAATCGCTGGGTCACACGCTCTCACTGGCCCCATCGGGATCGCTGCCCTCAGTGCACTTCCTCGGCCTTCCCAGACCCCTTCGGAGTCAGTCATGGTCACGACACAGTACAAACTTCTCTCTGGGTTCTAGCTAGCTGCCAGAGTTTAGTCCTTTACCAACCCCCATACTGCTAAAGGATCCATCTATTTGAAACAAAGCCCACTTCTGACAATAACCATTTGATATGTATATATTTTAAAAGTCAGATAAACTACAATGGCTTCAGAAATAAACACTATTTTGACTAAGCACTTATGATAATAATATACCGAACTTCTGCCAATGGAGACAAGGTCTTAGACACACAGCAGGGTATGAAGCTCCCTAACAAGAAGCATATATATATATATATATATACATATACCCCTTCAACATGTCTGCACACCCACACACTGACAGGCACACACGTGTGGACACATACGCCATGCTGCTTTGCAGGAACATGCCGGGGCAGACCGAACAGCCGAGAACTAAGATGCCTATCGTGTCATGGTTCTGGCAGATGGCCCAGGGACCAGGCACAGAGACATGTTTTTCCTTCTGCACCATCTGGAGGGCACATGCTGTTACCTGCTGTCTTTGGTAGGCAGAGAAAGTTCGCTCCAGGTCTTCGAGATCTAGAATTTTGAAGACTTTTGTATCATCGATTTCAGTCCATACAGTTCCTTCCAGTTTGTTCTGCAAACATTAAGTTCATAAGTGCTAGGGTTTACAGTTACACACAAAAACAGACATGGTTATTCAAATGCTGCTATTCCCAATTTTTTATTCCGCCAGATGCTCAAAGTGAGCTGGCTTCAAATGACGTGTCATTTATTTCTGAACATGTATCACTTAAATATCTGAGCTGGTGAGAATCCCAAGCCCATACTAGAAGATGACATCACTTAACAGCCAGGGCCACTCCCCCCTTCTGTGCCAGCACGGCGAGCTGCTGGTGCCATCCCTCAGAGGGCGCACCGAACGAATGGCTTACCTCGGGCAGCTTAGACCAGTTGAAGGACTTCAGGGCATTGGTGGGTTGAGGAATGTTTTTCTTCTTCAGTGTCAGACCCAGTGGAGCCCCGGGAGGTGGCATGACTCCCCCTAGGGGAGGGGGTCCGGGGGGAGGAGGAGGACCGCCAGGAGGGAGGGGTGGGGGTGGAGGAGGAAGCACTCCCCCTGGTAGAGGTGGGGGTGGCGGGGGAGGAAGGAGAGATCCTGGCACAGAGGAAGGAAAGGGTCCCCCTGGGGCCCCAGGTGAGGGCCCCCCTGGAACTGAAGCACAGACGGCCCTCTGCAGAGATAAAATAGGAAAAGAGAAGATCAATGGAAGGAGTAAATTCACTGGATGGTTTTGAGAGTCTGATGCTTTGCCCAAAATTATACAGAAAGTCACACCTCTGAGAATGTGGGTTTTGAGGAACACTAAGTAAAACAGACCTTCTAGGCCTTGGTGGACTCTATTGGGTCAGATCTTTGTATCTGACACTCTAGTGCTTGTTTGCAAAGTGTTCCCATGCTTCTCACTTCTTGAACCATCATCCAGTTTGGTTTTCATTTTAACCTTGCTCTGTATTAGAGGATCTGTATTAACATTTCAAAACACCCTCCCCTGGCTCATACTGCCTCTGCTGCCCAACCTATGTGATAGCAGAGGGAGCGAGTCTCCCAACCATCGTGAGAAATCAGGAGACGACTCAGGTTTTATTCCCCCCAGTGAGGGGCTGGCCACTTAAGGGTGAGGGGCTCCAGGCTGCCCTTGGTCCTCACCCTGCTGAGCTCGTGGAGCTGGGCCGTGAGATCCGCCACCTGCTGCTTGACTTGCTTATGCTCAGTGGTCTCCTTTTCAAGCTTCTCTTTCATTTTGTTTAAGGTCTGCATCATCTCCTCCTTCTCTTGGGTCTTGGCGTCACATTCTCTCTCTTTCTTTTCCAATTTCTGTTGTAGCTCATTGTGCTCTGCACATGAAAACAATCAGACATGAAAACAAGGGGCTCTTCAAAGCTGAAGCATTTTCTCTAAAAAGAAAATTGACTGAGGATTGTGAGGCTCTTTATTGGGTAAATATTATTGCTCTTCTCCGTCAAGGGGAGTGACTTGTGGGTTCAATGGTGTTTGTACTTCAAGGGGGCTTCAGATGGGCAACTTTATTAACTACGTTTGTACAAGACGGAAGAAGAGACCCCTAGAGTCACAGTTCTTGTGGAGGAAAATGGTTCCTGTTGGGTAATTAATTCAGAATCCTGTCATAGAAATGGCCTGTTATCTACACTAGGGAAAACGAATATTAAAAGGGCTTCTTTTCACGAATTAGAAATGAGGAGAGAGTTCCAGGGCTTATTAACTAGGTTTTCTGGCATATGTCCGACTAGCGGAGGGGCTGAAAGGGAGGATCTTGCACTGTGAGGAAATGCTGCTACCAGACCCAGTGTTTGTTCCACAGCAGTCATTTCTCCCATCCTCCCAGAAAGCTACTTGAACTTGAAGAATTTTATGCCTCTGGCAAACAATTCTTAACACTTATGAAAGCAAATGTTATTGCTTCAGTATTGAATATCTTATGAAATCACCATAATATGGGGAAAAATATTAGCTCTCATAAGCAGTTTAACTGACTTCCCCAATTCTGCTATAATGGAACAAAGCATCCAATTTAGTGATAATGCTTATTTACACTGCCAACATGCCTGCTGATTCTAAGTGCTAATGAGAATGATGAGCTTTGGAAAATTGGACTAATGAAGTTGAGGCTGAAGATCTTGATTTCAAATACTTGGCCCCAATTCCTATTCTTTTTACATCAATAAACCGACTAGAGATATAACCCACTGGGGCAGAGATATACAGAATTTGTCTCTATGCCTGAATTTGAGAACACATTTAAAATGTGTTGCTTTCTCTGTCTCTTACTTCACTCTTCTGAGTCTTCCGAAATCAGAGTTTGCAGAGAAGGGTTCAAGACACTAAAATCCTTGGATTTTTACCAGCTGCGGACTGAAGGTAACCATTACCTTCAGAAGGTAACTTTTGCCACTGCTACCGTGTGTATAATCAGAGACCCACCCGATCGCTGCCTCAGTGTTTCCTTTTTTCTTTCTTCTATCTCCACTTCATTCCTCTCTGACAGCTATGACACTTGACTTCCCGTCACCAGCCATTAACAAATCTGGCCTTGCCTCAGAATCACCTGAGAGAGCCACCTCTCAGGACCCCCGGACCTCATCCTGGGAAGTCTCCTCTGTAGGCCTGGGCTTGCGGATGTGTGGTTTTCAAGTGCTCCTACTTCTGATGTAATGCCAGGTTTGGGAAGCTCCCCACAAATGGCACCCGTTTGCCAGCCTCAAGGATTCTCTCCACGGAGGACACCCATTTGCTAAGCTTTTATGCAGCAAAGAGTGCGCTGCACTAGAAGGAATTCTCCTCAGACATTCTCCACCTCTCAGGCCCACGGAACTTCCTGTCTCCTCACAGCCTCCACCCTCTGACGGATTCATCAGCACGTGCCCTCTTTAATACAACTTTGCCACTTGAAGCTTCCAGAGAAGAATTTTACAGAGTATGACTGTTTTCTCACAGGGGCCAACTTTAATTTGCTGAGATTTTGAAGGAGGGGAGAAAGTTATATCCATTCTGTGAGCGGCTGGCACAGTGATGGGTACCAATGCCCTTCCTGTCATTCGATGCTCTGTGTTAACATCAAAGACATTTCCAAATACCCCCCCAATAGCTGGTTTGTTAATGTTTCGTAACACACGTCTCTATAATGGTCAGTGAGCCTCTGCATGCTTTCTTCTTTTGTAACCGGTGCCAAATGTACAGTCACATGAAGAACTGGGCTGCCGAAACCAAGTGCCCTGTGTTTTTCTTTTAGAATGCTGGGTAATCCCTGGTGTTCCTTATTACATTTCTTAAAATTCAGTATGCTTGAAAGAGCAATTATGGAGTGGGGGATGGTTTGGGAAGGTTGATAATAAAGAATATCTGACTTAACGAATATTGAGTAAAAGGGTAAAATATTTGGGAAACTAAAGTAACTTAACTCAAAAAAAAAATCAGTAGAAAATGCCCTTAGGACAAGAAAAAGAAAGTTGTATGCACTACAGTTAATGAGAGGCATCGATGTAAATTTCTGAAATATACAGAAAGTAGAGTCAGTTGTCCGGTAACCAACACTGCGGTCTCCTTTCTGGTCAGGGCCTCCTCACGTACCTTTTCTCATTTTTTCTGCTTGTTCTTTCCACTGCTTAACTTCATTTTCATTAACCAGCCTGTGTAACAGTTAAAGGGGCATTTATTACAAAAAGTTAGAAAGACCACTGCTAAATGTACACTCTCTAGGTACGAAAATAGCCTACTTCAGAGAAAACCTTCAGCATGCTGGAAGCCCATTAAAATCCACATGATACTTAGATATAATACATGTGTATGTAAAAGACTCGTATTTGACCTCTAAAACATTTCAGTTCTCCCAGCTGCTATTTTAAAGTAGGATTAAAATGAATGTCTTACACTGCCACTATTATCCTAGAGAGAGCAAAATAAGAAGAAACTTACATCCGTACAACATTCTTAATATTAAAGTTTTCCAAAGGTGTGGAGTCAGGGTCCTGTCCTTTGTCATTTTGGATAACTATCTGCTGTATGATTCTATCCAGCAGCAGCCAGTACTGAACAGTGTTGCCACTTCTCTTGTCTAAAAAAGAAAACAAGGGTAGAAGAGACTTCAGATCATTTCTAAACTAGAATGACTAATTTTTCAACAGCGGTCACCTGGAGACCCAGTGACAGACCCAGAGATGTGTTAACATCTGTACCTCTGCTTCCCAACGTTTCTGGGATTCAAACCTGTAATCATCATGTATTTGATTGAGAGGAACTTTCTACACCTTTCTGAATGTGTTGTAAGGCATATATTTATTTTTTAAATCATTATTACTTATAAAACCACTATAATTTATAAAATCATTGTAAGTTACATCATTTCATTTTGAGAACTTCCCAACACCCCATAGGCTGGCTGCAGCAAGACCAAGGTGTGAAATCCTGGTGTGCACCCAACCTCACCAGCACTGTTCAGAAGACGGGGCCCTTTGGAAGACACCCGAACATTCAAGGATAAGGGTCACGAACACTCACAAGGCATCTGGAGGCAGTGGTGCAGGATGGACATGAAGTGAGGGTAAGCTTCACTATGAGTCAGCCTCTTCCTGGTCAGCTCAAACATCTGAGTCGCACTTTTTGTGTCTATGTGAACCTATTTCATAGGAAAAAGAAGTCTAAGTCAAACACCCAAGTTCCTTGGTTCCCACAATGCAAGGTGGGCCAATCAAAGGCAAACGGAAGCTCATCCTGCCACGGAGGTAGCACAACAGAACTCTGAGGGTGCCCTGGGTCACACCACTCCACAACACGTGTTACCACGGGGAAAGCCCCTGAGCTGATGAGGAGAGTCAGGCTGACTGTAAGCATTACGTACCAGCTCGAATCTTTTGGCAAATTCTAGTTCATCTTCGTTTCGGAGCATTTCAAAAAAATCTAAATGCCTGAAAGACAATTAAAAAGAAGACATGAAAAGTGGAGCACCCCTCAAACAACAGGAATGTAGGAACCAAGTCTGGGATATGGATTTAGGGCTAGTGCCAAAACCCACACTAAGTTCTCCACACAAAATGTGACTTCTTTCATCAAGTCTTAGTATCATAAACACCATTAGCTGGATTAACATTCTGGTGCAAGCACCTGATGTTACAGACATGTTACAAGTAGTTCCTGGAGTGGAATTACACATGGGGGAGAAGCATGAACTGTCTCAGATCTGACTTACCTGTCTAATGTTGAATTTTCATGTTCCCTCAATTTATCTATTACAGGTTGAATTCCTAACATCAGAAATTCATAGCGAAGATGAAGTCTAAAATCCAAACTTTCCTGAAAGTAAAAGGGTAAGAAAAAACATATTTATGCTTTTTAGATTACACAGTCAGTAATCTTTTCTTTTAATGCAAATTTTCAGGCCCTGCCCTGGACCAAGTATATCAGTGATGCTAGGCAGGAGACCTGGAAACCTCCCAGGTCTCCTGGGTTTTGTTGTTGTTTGTTTTTAAATATTTTATTTATTTATTTTTAGAGAGAGGGGAAGGGAGGGAGACAGACAGGGAGTGAAACATCGATGGGTTGCTTCTTGTGCACCCCCAACTGGGACTGAACCTGCAAACCAGACATATGTCCCAACCAGAAATTAAACCGGTGGTGACCTTTCAGTTCAAAGTCTGACCCACTGAGCCACACCAGCCAGGGCCACGGTCAGCAATCTTTTTAAATGAATATTCTTTAATAATACATGTTGTACACTGTGATATAAAAGATTCTTACCACTCCCGCGCCTTGACTGAGCACTGCGTTGATGAAGGACATGATGGCGGTCTTCAGACTCACTTCATCTCGATACCGCCCCGTGCTTTTATCCAAGTCGTTAATTAATGTCTACCAAGGATACAAACATTAAAGAAGAGCAGTGAATCATTACTAACCTTACATTCATTTTATTAATCTTTTAATACTCAGAAATTTTGAAATCTTGTGGGTACTTAGAATTATACTGATCCACAGGAAACCACTTTAAAAAAATGAGGCCCCAAAACGTTTTCAAAATTCTTAATACTATATGTAAGTTTACAATATATGCTTGTAAACAAAGTACAAAAGACTGTGCTTCGTTAACTCTGCTTGCTTCTTATGTGTGAGTATAATGTAGTGACACAAGCGCACTATTTATAATGATCCCAAATTAAGAGTGGCAACCTGTAACATTTTCAGGGGACACCCCACTTAGTAGGTTCAGACAATGTGCGCTCTACAGCGTGTAGGAAGCAGGGCCATGTTTTCTAGCTCAGTTCATCCCAAACCCCAGGATGATCAACTACAGAAGGCATACTCTACTCTCTGGTACCAAAACCTAAGAGGAAAGAAATGCTTGACATGGCACCGTGAGCTGTTACCACCAAGGGAAATCTCGAGTTAAGCTCCCTGCTCAGTGCCAGCAAAGGCACCTGTCAGAGGGGTGGGACCAGCAGCGGAGAGGGAACCCACTCACCTGGAAGCGGGTCCTTTCACTGGCATACTTCTGATAGTGAAGCATGGCCTGCAGAACCTTCTTGTGGCCCCCGGGAACCAGGCACACGGCGCCCAAGATTTCCAGCACAGCCACCTTCGTTTTAATGTTCTCTGTGCTCAGACTCTGAGCAATGACATTAATACTCTCAGAATGCGCCAGGACATGAGCCCGACCTTGAGAGTTGTTCATTAGCGCTTTGATACATCCAATGAGAGAGGTATGTATGCGAGACTCTGAGGTCTCGTAGTCCATGGTCTTTAGAAAGTTGAGAATACATGACAGGCCATCCAAGTCGATGAATCTGGTTACAAACCTGTCAGAATGAGGTTAAAATGTATCAGACTGCAGTCTCTTTGGAATTTTGTATTAGCCCTTAATGAACCCTTAATGGAAAAGTTTAGGAGGTGCCGAACAGGAGAAAGGAAGAAGATGCAGTTCCTAAAGTACCGAAAGGCTTACAGTGATGGAAGTCTTCTTAATCCCTGGCCTCTTCCTCGGCACAGACCCGATGGTCAGGTCTAACCAGAAGTGTGGGGGTAAAAAAATCTCTGTTTGAGGTAAACAGATCTCAACTAACACAAAGAACCAATTAACAGGACATATAAGCACAGAAAGCCAGAAGAAGGCACTCAGAACATTTTCCCTAGGTTGTTATCTGCTGGTGCTGTGTTGCTGTAGCATCCAGCCCCCATGTGAGGCCCACTGAGGCAGGCAGGTCCCGTATCAGTGAGCGTCAGAGAGAACCCTTCAACTCCAGGGTATTTGCTTGCCAAACAAATGATAATCTGTATCCTAAGGTTTTGTAGCAAAACCCTTTATTTGTATGGCATGCTATACAGAAATCTAAATATATAAAACAAATAAGTGCAATACTTTATCACTATGTATTAATTTTATTGATATTTATGGTGTTTATTTACTGTAGTCAATCAACAAGAATCATTCACAATGTACACTTGCATGTTAAGCCCCTGAAAAGTTCAGAAGTAACCTAACCTGTTTATCTGACTACCCTAGAAATTTCCAAACGTATTCAGCCTTGGGTGCCCGCTAGTAGCTGAGGATGTGGAACACACCCATGGAGGGAGACACTCACCTAGTTAGGGTAGGCTAGACGACCTCTGTTATCTAACTACACAACATTTTCGATGAATCGGGAGGTTTTTCTTAGTTAGCATTTTATAGTCAAATACAAGAAAGAAATCTTTATTTTCCAGCCTTTCACCCAACTACATGACCCAGGTATAGCCACGCTGGTTCAACCAGTTGGCTTCATTCACAGCACTTGAGCTAATGGAATGTCCCAATAAGCCCCAAATCCCACCAAACCTTATTGGCATTAATGAAAAATGAAGGTGTGGGAGGCACACAGTAGAAACCAATTGTGTACCCTCTTTTTTATAAGTGTTTTTGAGATATAATTCAAATGCCATACAATTCATACTTCCAATGTATAATCAATTTTGTGATTTTTTAATGTATTCAGAGTTGTGCAACCATTGCCACTATGTGATTTTAGAATAGTTGTCAATTTAATTATCCCCAAATACTATTTCCCCTTCATGTCCAACCCAGGCAATCACTAATCTTTCTGTGTCTATGCACTGGCATTTTCTGGACATTTTCTATAAATGGAATATTACAGTATGTAGTTCTTTGTGTCTGGCTTCCTTCAGTTTGCACAAATATTTTCAAGGTTCATTTATGCTGTAGGGTGTACCAGTACTCCATTTTTTTTTATGGCTGAGTAAACCACTGTATGGATTTATCATATTGTTGTATTTATTCATCGGGTGATAGAATTTGGGTTGTTTCACCTTATTTTCTATTCTGAATGACCCTGATATGGATATTTGCATACAAGACTTGTGCAGGATACTTTTTGCATTTCCCTTGGCCACGTGTTGAGGAGTCCAATTGTTGGGTCATGTGGCAACACTGTGTTTAACATTCTGAGAAACTGCCCAACTGTCTTCCAAAGTGGCTGCACCATTTTTCATTCCCACCAGCAACTGATGAGGGCGGCAGTTTCTCCACATCCACACCAACACTTGTTAGTCTCTGTCTTTTTAAATTTTAGCCATTTTAATGGCTATTCGCATATATTTTCATTAAAGAAAATCAATTTATTGAATGTTCAATGATTAAAGCATTTCAGCCATGGTTCAATTGCATGCTTTTAATTTAAGACTTCCTCAAAAGTTTGACTATTATGGGGAGAAAAAAAGATAAGTAAGAAAAGGGAGGAAGGAAGAATAGAGAAGAAAGTAAAAAGGAAAGAGACAAATGGTATATGCTACCCAGGAAAAAAAATTACCTCATTGGTTTTGTCCTTAGTGCTGTCTTCAAACTCTCTATAGTTTTACTTCTCTCTTCCTCTTCTTCTTTCTCTAACGCCAGCAGAGATTTTCTCTGTGCAAAGAAAACTGAAGTTACTTCTTCCAATTTTATGTTTTAATTATGGGACAAGCAAGACAAACCCACGGGTTACATGTATACAAATAAATAATAAATCCAGAACAAAGATTTACAACAAGTCAAAATGTACAGCCAAAGCACCAATAATTCTACAGATTTGTTATCTCTACTAAAAGTTCTTTCAAATTTTAAACAAGGCTTTAAGGAAATGTTTAGAAATCAGTAGAGGTTAAGTTGTCCAAGTGTTTGTGTGACTACACTCTGATAAAGATATCACTATTTGTATTTGGTAGAAAGAAGAATGAACCTGTAGTTAATTATAACATCTTGGGTAATTAAAGTTTCGTTTTCACACTATCAAACTCAAGTGGGCAGCAATCCTGCCACCCTATTTCTCTCATTCCTCAGATGAAAAGTGTAACCTTTTACGATTTTTCGTTAATAAATTATTTTTTAAAGGAAGAATTAAATTGGACCTGATACTAAGATGGACAATTCCTTCAGAGGAAACATTTAAGTTTTAGAAATGACTCAACGTCCCTTGGAAATCAGGATACGGAGGGCACTGGAGCAGGTGCTCGCGCGCATGCGCCTAAGAGGCTGCTAGAGCAGTGCGTCCCAACTTTAATGTGGACACGAGTCACCTGGGCATCTTGTGGAAGCACAGGCTCCGCCGAGGTGCCGGAGGGTGAAGCCTAACGTGCTGCACTTCTAACCAGTTTCCGTGCAGTGCCGATGCTGCGGGGTTGTGGACCTCACGGGGAAGAACGAGGCTCTAAGGAAGCAAATCTCGGTTGATATTGTAAAGTTACAAACGCTTGTAAGGCTTATAAACTTGTTAAAAAGTCTCTTCCATCCCTTTCACCCCATGATCAGCTATCTGTACTAAAAGTATCCCCAGTGTGTGGCCCCAGGTGCCTCTGCCCTCGCGAGCACCGGTCCCTTGAACACATGCTTGTTTATCAGTTTTTTTACTGTCACCAATTCTGATAAAATGCACAATTGGGGAACAGACTGGGGTGCTGAAAAATAAATGTTTAGCTCTTATCCAGTGTGCCACAATGATGCAGTCTCTCCCTTTCTTTCAGCACCACAAATCACCAAGGGGGTGGGGGGACTTTACTCCGTTTTTCCCCCAGTTTGTAGTATCAGCATTAAGTAACTAGATGTTAACTGAAGCCTTACTTTGACTTCATAATTAGGGGAGTAAAGCCCAAAGCAAACAAATGTATCAGTATCATTTATGGCAACTGAAATAAAAAATCAGTGGAGCCTTGTTTTTTAAACTGTGATTGTTTCTGCTAAAGCTGTCCTCTGGCTGGTGATGCGTCTGGACAGCTGTCACCAGAGGGTGGTCGGGGAAGAAGCCATGAGCAGAAATAGCCAATGAATTCCTTCACAGCTCTGTGGACCCGTCCCCTGGAAAATTGAGCACAAATACAGCCAAGTACATTTAATCTCCTATGGCACAGCTGAACTCTAGCCTCTTAAGCAATCACTTTGAATCTGCAGCTCAGAATCAAGCCTTTTATGAACATCACTCCTTGTTCCTAAGCTTAATCACACAAAACTATCCCCAAAGACTACTCACATTTTTTCTTGTGGTTCACTAATACTAAGAGAAGATGCATGTATTTATCTTAACAACCTTGAAGAAGATGGAACCTCTATATAAAAGCAGGCTATAATGAATTTCTCCCTAGTAGACTTCAGAGTTTTATGAAAAGTCAAGGAAGCTAAATTGGACTTTCTCTTCCCAATATAAGGACCATTATTTTCCTCTCAAAACAAAAGACAATATACTCTTTTTTATATGAGATATAAATCTAAGATTATTTACTGTATTGAGAAAAACTGAGGATATGTAGATGAATCTAACATTCTAATGTGACTTTTCAAAATAAAATAACTTATGGAAAGTCAAGATTTCAAGCTTCACATTTAGGAGGAAGGCTTCATTTGCAATTTTTTGTGGAAAAAGGGGATGTGCCTACATTTCTGAAAATGGCTGCTATACCAAACACCAAGTAGGCACCTTGGCACATGCAAGACAGGCCTGTGACCCTCTTTGGGTGCTCTGTGCACTTAATAAATCCCTGCTCCCATGAGAGGTGGGTAAACACCCCTGGCAGAGGATGTTCTGGGCGAAGCTGCTAGAGCATGCACTGGAACATGCAGGGCCGAGGGAAGGGCACAGATGAGGCACAGAAACCATTCCAGTCTGCGAGTCTGGGGCCAAGCGCTGGTTTGGAACATTTCATTGGTGTGAAATCACTAAGTCAGCGGGCTCAGCACACTGAATTTCATTTCCCATCCTTCCTTCCTGAGTGCACAGAGAAGTCACACACAAGGAAGGCCCAGGTCCTCCCGGAACCCTGTGGGGCTGGACTCTTTTATTGCTCTTTTTCACTCTTTAACAGATCACTCAGGGGTCCTTTAAGAATAAAGCATTCTTGTTAGGAGGCTTACGTAAGTAACTGAACTTGTTCCACAAACAGCTTCACACACCAGTAAGTGCTGCAGTCCTTGACCTGGACTGTTTATCACTCGAAGCCTGTCCCTTAAAGAAAACAGATGCCTGCCCCAGTTCAGAAAGTCTGGGGGCAGGGGGGGGGGATTACCAGGCCTCTTTTACAGGTTTTCAACCCAAGTTAGTGAGAGGCAAATTGGAAAGGAGTCTTTGAGCTCAGGAATGGATAGGTTTAAATTCCAGCTGTACCACTTCCTAATTGGATGACCTTGGGCAAAGTAACCTTTCTCTGATCTCAGACTCCAGATCTATAAATAGCACTTAGAATGCAGGGTGCTTGTAAGCCTTTAAAACAACATGTAAAGTGCCTGTTATACTGCTTATCACATGACCCACACTCACTAGCAGCAGTTGCTACTGATGCTGAAGACAATGGATGATGACAATGGACAAATGCCCCTTCAACAATTTCCTAAGTGCAGAGCCAGAGTCCAGCTGCCAGGCCATAAAAGGATCTGAAGGAACTGTGTGCCTTTCCAATCCCTAGGGACAGTGTCTGAGGATTTCTACCACAGTTATCAGAGAGGTTAGCCAGAACTATGGGAGGAGGCGGTGGCAACATGCATGGTGAAAAAAACAGAAAATTCTGCACTTTCCAGTCTCATCAGGCCTCCTTATCGCTTTATGCACACAGTAGTTCCCAGGTCTCCTTAATTCACGAACTGTTAATGCCTTTTACCTTTAACCCTGCAAAGATGCTGGCTGGGACCTTGAAGGAACATTAGAAAGCTTTGTTAGGTGTTTAACACATAAAGAACAGCGAAGTGCCTGACAATTTAATAGCCCTGAGATTCTCTTGGAAAGGACATTGGATTCGGAAGCAAATATAATTACAATGTGCACAACTTGTGAATGTGGTGAATGCAGCCAAGGGCTGTCCAAGGAACTGGATGGACAAAGGTGGCTCCTGGAGGAGGGTCACAGACGGGTTTGTCACAGACGCCCCAGAGGAGGAAGGGAGCCGGGCCGACTCCCAACAAGGCATGGGTTAAGTCGGGTGAGGACAAATTAACCCACAGCCCTGAAATTTGAAGAAAGGAAAAATCCATAGTGTTTAGTGCTTCTCCATTTAAAGAAGTGAATTCATTAACAAAGAAGCTTCACTGCCCTTGTCAGATATCAAACAATGCTGACTTAATTAGAAAGAGAGTCTGCCTTTATCCCCTAACAGCAAGGAACAAGAATTCAGAAAAATAACCTTCACATGCAGGAAATGTAAATGGCTCTACACGATTATGGTTTAGACGGAAGCATAGAAAATCCCCGGCGGTCCTCACATTCTGCTAACACAGTCATACAAACGTACAAATCACCCCCTCTTCATCATCTCCAATGTGTAGGACACCTTGTATAAGGAGGATATGGTGGTTATTTTCTGCTGTGCTTTTAGACTAGAAACTCTTGGGGCCAAAGCCTCTATAAGTTATACAGCTCTGTTCACATTTACCAGGCTGTTTATTATTCATGGTGTGACAGCAGAAGCAGCATCTTCAAAGGAGAGGCTAGAAAAGAAGAAGTTGCCAAAAGCCAAGGCCTCTCTGAAAGTTTAGCAGAAGTGTGAATGATTCACGTGTTCCAGTCAGTTTTAAACTTCTGCAGCAGCAGCAAAATGTTTGCTTTAAGTGAAAAGAAATTAATTATTCATAAGGACTCTGGGGAAGGCAAGAAAGAAAGAGGTAGCGAAAAGCACTATGGCAGCTATCACCTGAACTCAAAGCTGAATTTAACAGGTTGACTCTTAAACTCATGAGTGAGTCCACTGAGGCAAAGGCCGTGTTCCACTACGGCAACAGAAACGGGATTCAGTTACTGAGGCTCAAAGGTTCCTGACTTGTCTTCTGCGGTGTATCTCAGTAAGGACCAGTACCTGGCTCCTCGAGCTGCTCAGAACGCTGACATAACAGAGACGTCCACGCGATCAGAACGCATATTTTAGACACTGAGAATGCATTTTAAGCAACGATTCAACCAAAAATAGATGTACCAAAATACATTCCCAAGGACATCTCAGTGGGCGCTGTTATTATCATCATGCCTTCTCATAACACCACTTATACCATGCGCTTTTTGTTATTTATATGAGTAAAAAGTGCCTTGGTGCCCAGTGAAATCAAGAATCCAGGAACTAAGCAAACCCTCATTAAATAAGAGAATGGGAGGAGAATAATGAAAAGATAGTTTCACTGCGCTATTTTTAAGTGACATTAATTTTTAGAATAGTGCTGCTATAACTAAACTCCAAATAATTGTAACAGCAATTGCAAGTTAAAGTTGAACATAAGCCAGATTTAAAATTAGATTTCCTCTTATAACATTAAATTCACATTTGAGGGTGTTCTGATTTTATTTAAAACATACTGGAAAAAAAAACATTTTGCCAAGTACCGCTCCTGCCTGCCACTACCCCTTTTCCCAACAATGAGCATTTGGAATGGAGTTGAAAAGATAATGACATTTGGTAGCTCTTACTCAAGTGGATTTATTGTGCAACTGTGTGCTTTGTATCAGACTTGTATTTTAAACTGGGTGTCAGAGAACAGAAAGTATACCTACAGCGGCCATGGAGTTCAGCTGATCAATGTAGAATTCAGGCCAACTTGTTGCACCCTTGTTTTCTTCCTGGTCCTAAAGAGAAAAACAAAAATGTGATATACCACCAGATGTACACACATACAGGTCATAAGCACATCTGACTTCCACAGTGTCTAGAAAATGGCCCATTCAAACCATTAGAAGGCACAGAGATAGAAAATATTTGTCTGTAAATGCTGGCTTTCAATCAGACTGTCCACTGGACTAGGGTGGTCTCCCCTATCAATTTGCAGAGAGTGCTGACGTCAGTTAAATGGGAACTTGGCCACATCACAGGGTGAAGCTGTTTTCCTTTAGGGGCACAGTAACCTTGGGCAGGGCACTGTGTTTGCTGGCAGGACAAAGGATCTCCAAGTTCTGTGTCACACTGAGGACAGTGCTGCTGGACTATTCGTCCAGATGAAATCCACAAGAGAGAGAAAGTTGTCTTTAAAAATGAATACAAGATTTAGCCAGTTGTTCACTCGATTTTTTCAGTTAGTTTATTCCGAACCCAGCAGAAAGTAAAAATTTTGAAGAAGGCTTTAATCTGATGTGACCAAAACCGGGTACTGCTTCAGTGAGGATGGAGAACAAAGCCTGACACTGAATGGAAGGCAATAATATGAACACACATTAGTCCTAGGCCCAGAGCTCAGGCTATGACAGAGTGTGAGTTTGGATAAAAAAATGTCATGCATCTCAGCTGAAGAGAACTGAAACCCAAGGAATTCAGGAACCTATTCTGCACAGCCAATCTTGTCTTACAAACCAGAGTGACTTGAAGTCCCCAGATATTCTGTGGATGGCAGGTCTGTGCTAGACCAAACCCACAACTCCAAAACAAATGAATGAATGAATGAATTGGGCAGCTCTTTTCCATGCATGTTTGTGCTACAAGTCATCTGTGATCGAACAGACTCAAAGAAAAGTTCAGCTTTCTCTAGCCTCCCATTCAGAAAGCAGCTTAGTATAATCAACCTCCCCTGCCCCCCACCCGCCCCCTTGGAGTAGATACCAGACCAGTTACTAGTACCTGTTATCAGATAATGAAGTACTTATTACCTATTAACTGGTGTCAGAATCCCAATCCTCAGGATAGCAGTTTTGGGGGTGGGGGGACTTTTAATTTCAGTTCTAAACTCTCCCTCTAAAATATACTTTCTATAAGCAATCTTTCTAGACAAGTCTACTTGTCTAATTGGGTAAGAAAAAACTGTAATTTCAAAACTGTTCTTTAAGTAGTCACAAAAAGGGGGCAAAGTAACTATTGCTTACAGTGCCTTCAAAGCCGGCAGTAACTGATATCTGGACTCAGGCGGTCGCATGAATTTCACTTAGAGACTGAACGAGCCAGATGATGGGGACAAAGGCTACCCCAGTGGCTTTGAAGTTGGGCTGGATTACACTTCCATGGTTCTAAAAGGTTTAGGAAATCTGATGACTTTTTAGAAGAGCCCCTGATTATTATTTAACATGTTACTAAACTAGCTAAAAGGCAGTGGAAAGGCCGAACCCTTCTCTCCCCTTAAAATGGAGCAGTAAAGTTCACACAATCCCACTGTCACCAGCCTGCTCAGCAAGCCAAAGCCCATAATGATATTCAATGGTATTTGAACCTATAAAATGAAATAGGAGGTGCCAGATCTTTTTATTCCCCCAAACTAGGGCAAATTTCCAGAACTACAACAAAGTCACGCCCCATGTTCAGGGTCCCATGAGAGCTTGTCTGTTGTAAGCTTAATAGTCATGGTTATAAAACAGAGCTCATTTGAGAAACTGAAGATGAATATATATGGAGAAATTGCTACACTTTGGAAATGCTTTAATGATGTAAACAGATTAATAGTAGACCTAGATACTGTAGTCAAAATAAGGGGAAGACTTATTTTCATTTCACATGCCTCAGAACTGAGAAAATCAAATGAGCTCACGTATGTGAAAGCTTCTCGTAAATGTACCAAGTGTAGTCACCACACTCCTGGGGGGCCAGTTCTTCATCCCATCAATGTATCTACAGTTTCCCTTGTGAAACCCTGGTCCTTCTATACAGATGTGCGCTATGGTAGCCAACTGAAATTCCCATCTGTGAATCAACTCTCTCCTACCTGGTGTGGCTGCCAGACTGTGTAGTTCTACGGAGGCACAGAACAGAAGGAAATGAGTGCAGCTGCTCCCTGGGAGTCCCCTGCGGAGCCCTGGACACTGATTGGCCAGGAGAGAGCTACTGCCCTAGGAGTCCACGAAAGAAACTGCTGGTGGAGGAGTGTGTACTACTCCTGGAAGGCAACTGGGTCCTGGCTTTACCCCCTCTAACAGGTATTATTCTTCAAGCCATCTTGCTCAATTCTATGTATTCGTTCTGGAGAAACAAGTGGAACATATACAAGACGGTATAAAATGTATAAAGGAAGTTACAATGGAAGCAATAGCAAAATCGAACACCTATATAGCTTATGTGTCAAATACTGTTCTAGGCATGTGCTCTACATTTAACCTACTTCATGAAGTAGGTGTTGCTATTATACTCACTTTAATAAAGAGGAAACAAGAGGCACAGAGGGGACAGGTGAGATGCCAAAGGTCACCTTGCCAAAAATTCAGAGTTAGTAGGAAAGAATTAGAGAAACTTCTTTCTAAGATTAGAGTTCAGACAAACCACAAGCCATACACATTAAGTGCAAAGCTGCCTTTTCTCTCTTAACCACTTCCCCATAAGAAACTCAAACGTGGTCACTTCTATTGCCATCAACAGACATTTGAATCCTTAGTCACTACCTTAAGTGACTAAAAGGTAAGCAAGACAAGTGACTTGTCTGTGTGGCTCGGTTTTAGTTTCCTTATCTATAAATGGGAGCCTACTTCATAAGGTCGTTGTGAGACCTAAAAAGTTAGTATGAGCTGAAAAAGCACTGGGAACAATATACACAGAATGTGCTCAATAAATGTTAGCTAGGATGACAACGAGACTGTTCCAGAACCTCTAGCTGTGGCCATGCTAACTAAGTCCCTGTTATTATGACCGTGAAAACTGGAGCAAGCAGTTTGGAGGTAAACTTTGGCAGTAATGTCAAATTAAAACACACACAGCCTTTGACCCTATAAGTCTACTTTCAAGAATTTAGCCCAAATCACATACTTAATTTGCATAAATATATATATTACAAATAACTTTTCTTCACTTTCAGTGATCTCTGAACTAGTAAATGATAAAGTTAACCAACAAAAAGGGGGTGGGTTGAGCACATCATTTTGTAGCAGGAATAAAGAATGAAGTAGAGTTATGTAATGATATGAAAATGACAAAATGTACTAAGGTAAAAAGTATTTCAGAATATTATTTTCTACCTATAGAAAAAATACGTACACTTTACGCACAAATATTTCTTAAAATATATACAATAAAATTTAACAACAGCCACCTCCCAGCTGCAGTAGACCTTCTACTTAAACTTGTGTGCAATCCAAACTTCTACAAAGAACATGCACCATTTTCACAATTAAAATAGAAGTTCGAAAGCATGTCATGCTCTGTTAGGACAAGAGCTTTGCTTTTGCTGCTGCTCTGTGCAAAGTGAAATGCATCGAGTCAAGGCCCCGCAACATTTGGGGTGCCTCTGGTCTCCACCCCCTGCCCCACAGCAGATATTTAAAGACATTTCTCTAATTGTCTTCCTTTCATGGATTTCTATTTCTAAAATTCCCTATAACCCTATAACCCCAGTATCAACTATTTGTGCAGGGAAAGAAACGATGATTTGGGCTAAGATTTATGTACCCAAAGCATGCTAAAATTTTCTAAATTTCCACACTTACATATTTGTGTGGCAAACAAAGTCTTGGTAGCAGCTGAAGTCTTTCAGTAATATATAAGTGGGACTCAGCATAGTTTAAAAATTAAGTCTGGGCCCTGGCTGGTGTAGCTCAGTGGATTGAGCGCGGGCCTGGGAACCAAACAACTGCGGTTCGATTCCCAGTCAGGGCAGATGCCTGGGTTGCAGGCCAGTTCCCAGCAGGGGACACACGAGAGGCAACCATACATGGATATTTCTCTCCCTCTCTCCTTCCCTTCCCCTCTAAAGATGAATAAATAAAATCTTAAATAAAAATTAAGTCTTTAAAGATAAAGACTTTTGAAATTAATAGAGGGCAAAATTTCAATAGGGTCACATTTCCCAAGTAATAATAAATAAGAACTAGTAGAGTTTTTCTTCAGTTTACGATGCTCTTGGTGAAGCTCCAAATAGGCTGCGTGAAGATCAATCAACAGTAAAGGACATGCTCTGGGACAGGGGTAAAGGACGTGCTTTGGGTTCACAAGGTCACAAGTCACAGACTGATGCGATGAGCACTTGGCCAACTGAAGCTCTAAGTCGCCACGTGCTTGTCATGTACCCATGAAGTTCTCAGACACTGCTTGTTGGAAAAGCAGACACGCACTTTCCCCATCTGGATTCGCTCACAATCCTTGAGCAATGTACAAGAGTACTACTAACCCCCAAACTGTAGGGACATATTAAGGTTTAACCAAGTGAATTTCAACAGCAGAAAGGTATCGTTTTGGTATGACAGTATGAAGTAAATGTCATTCTGATAATATGCAGCACAGGACAAAACAGAACTAAATGCCAATAAACACCTGTTCCGCTTGCAAAGAAAATGCTACAAGAGAACATGTTAACTGTGATCGTTTATAGGATCAAGAAAGTCTATCCTTTGGTAATGACTGAAATAGTCACTTGTTGCATTAATTTGTCACCACTATTCTAGATTTCATAGAATCTAGGTCCACTCACAATGCTAATAAATGCATTAATTTTGTACCTATAATTTTCACAGAATTCTAGTTAGAAAGAGGCAGAAAAGCCAAAGTGTACCCATGATGTGTGTGGCATCCATTATACTCAAGTGAGTGATAGGAAACAGGAGTCAGTGTGAGTGAAACTGGATCAAAGGAACAGGAAAGGAAGAGCAAGCATGATGGAAGATGAGAAAGTATTTTGTGGAAGCCCTTGCTAATCACTTCTGCTAACTTTCCTCTCAACTTTAATAAC